ATTATTTAAAACAACAATAGATAATACTATTAGTCCCGCTTACTGGAAAGACAACCCTAATTTAAAAGTAAATGATATTAAATTTCAATTTTATTTAAGAGGAATTCAAGTGCCAGAAGAAAGCGAAATACAAGAAGAATTGAAACACAAAGGCAGAGGCAAGGCGAGAACATACAAAGAATATTTAGTAGATATGATTTTAGATACTATTGATAATGGCGGGTGGATAGTAAATTTAGGCAAAGGTAGAATAGAAGAACTCAAGGCCAGTTTTAAAGGTAAAGGAAAGAAATAATATATAAATATTTATAATGATAATATTAACTAAAAATATACTGAAAAGAAAGAAGCAGAAGTTCAATGATAATTATGATCACGACGACAGTTTTTCAATACATAACCTAACAAAACCAAACACACCAACAACAACACAACCACCGAAAATGATGAAAAAGGGCATACCGAGAGAATTTATTGACATTGCAACCAATACAGATACAATCGCCACAGAAACCAGAGAGACTCAAGAAAAGTTATATAATGATGCAAATCAACAATTAAATATGACATTTGAAGCGTTTAAGGTAAAGGAAAACCAAGATAATATGTTTAAAATAATGCTTAAAAACTTTTGGCACAACACATACAAAAGACATGAACCAACAAGAACGCAAGCAACACAAACACTGAAAAACCAACGCGACACAATGGTGTCAGCCTTTACTAAAATGCTCGACAACAACAAACCACCAGAACCACCGCCAAAGAAACCACCAGACGAGGAGGACAGCGATGAAGAAGAAAAAAGATTCAAACTGACAAAAATGATAGAAATAATGCTACACAACGGCGCTACAGTAGCAGATGTAATATTAAACTTATCACATAGCGCAATTGCAACAACAATAAATATCGCAGATTTAGTTAATCAAATAACAGCAGGAAATGCACAAGGTAGCAGTAGTTCTTCTAATGAAATTGTTAGTGTTCATAGTTCTCCACCTATTACTGTTCATAGTTCTTCATCTGAAAGTCCAACAGAAATACCAGCACCAACTGAAGACGAAGAAGAAGAAGACGGAGAAGAAAAACAAAAATATAATTTTGAAAAATTAAAATCTAAATAATATTATATATAATGGGTTCAAGTAAATCAAAACCAGTAGAAATTGATGATGAAGAGGCTATTAAAGTAATAAAAGATATAGATGTAAATACGATAAGTGAAATGTCAAGAATTGATATTCTACAAATAAATTCATTGAAAGCAATAATAAATAAATTAGAAAAAGTTAATGAATGTAAAAAAGATAAAACATATTATAAATTTCCTGCCTTAAATTTATGTAGCTATTCCTTATTCTAAATTGATAATATTAACATACATTAATATTATTAATTACTATCATAATCTGTCATTTCATCTTCTGGTAATTTTGTTGAGGCATTGCTACACATATCATCTATTAAATCTTCTTCATCAACAAAGTTATTTTGAAATCTTAATAATTCCTCGTCTGTTGGTCGTCTTTTTAACACTTTATAAAGTTTATGTATCCAAGAATTAGTATGAAAATTGTAATTACCTCTACGATAAAATCCACCACATCTACATAGTTTCATTAGCATATTATTATATTATATTAAACTAGAATATCTTTATTCATCATTTGTAATTTGAAATGCCTGTTCAAAACGGAGAAAAAACATGTCATTCACATTCTTAGCATTCATATTCACGTAGAAGAAACTATAAGGTGCGTCATTCACTGCTTGATGATACATATCTAATAATTGCTGTTTGTCAACAATGGCGCTATTTTCTTCAATAAAACTCATTAATTCACTGGCATTTTTCAACCTAAAAATATATAATGAACTGGCATTTAAACGAATGATAGGCGCCAACACATTATATGTCTGTGTTGAACAAATTACGCTTACTGCATCGTGCCTACCTCTTGTAAATAATCCATGTAATAATTTACTATATCTAACAAATTTAGGATCGTCGGCGTGATCGTCTATAACGATTAATATTGAATGTAGTTTCTTTATCTTTTTAGATTTCATATAATTAATTATTTTCTTCTGTCTTTCAATTACATTTTCTAAATCACTTGGATTATAATTATCAAAATAAATTTGTTCTTTTTCATCATCCACGTGCAATTCATCCCTGATATATTTTTTAACTTCTGTAAAGGTTGGGTCATTATGAACGCTGGGGGAAAATATAAATATTCTTGCAAATGAATTTCTATAAACATTTAAGATAAGGTTCTGAACCAATACTGTTTTGCCACCTGTCGAAGAAGCAACTATAATACTTCTAAATGGTAATTTTGGCACGTGCTCATATTTAGATTGTTTGAATTCATATTCAGTTATGTTTATTGGCTTTATTATTGGAACATCTGACATAATAAAATAATATTAAAGTTATTTAGAAAATATTTTATATTGATTATTTTATATGAATAGAAGCTATTCAGATTATATCAATATAATAGATGAAGTAGAGAATATAGAACAAGTTGTTATAACTGATAATAGATGTAAAAAAATATTTTATTTTATTTTAGAATTAATTAAGTTTGTGATACAATATATCAAAAATAAAAATGTAAATATTAATATAAATGGGAAGAAAGAAAAAGATTAAGACTGAACCAGTTGTTTCTTCAACTGATGAAGAAAAAGAAGAAGTTGTTAAAGAGACATCAGTTATTGAGTTTGCTTGTCCAATGTGTAAAAAAATCTTAGAAATGAAAAATGAAATAGAAATACAAAAGAAAGGAAATTGTAAATGTTCGTGTATTCCGACAAGTTTCAAACTAAGTAAGAATGATAAGAAAATGAATATTGATAAAACTAAAGACAGTATAAATTTAGAAACAGATGTTCATAATATTGCTATTCGCTTTGGGAGGGGAGTTACTCCATCTGAGAATGGCGATAAGGAAACACAGGAAACTGTTAAACAAATGATGAAAAATTAGTATTTAAAGAGTAGATTTAACATAATTTAAACATTTAGTTTTAAAAGTTTTATTTTATATTATAATATATATATTTACATGGATGAAGGATTAGAAAAGATGGTTAAAAAACTGAACAAGGTTTTAGAACAGAATAAGAATATTTTAGAAATCTTACAAGAAATGGAAAAGAAGAAACCATTAACAAACAATTATCAAAGTAAAGAAGTAGATAGAACCAATGGTGAATATAAAAATAAAAGAAATATTTATTTAAACAAACTTAATAACAAAGAAATTAAAGAACCGAAGTCTTCCACTATGACATTTTATCAAATTGACTATGATGAAGATACAGGGGTTTATTCTTGATTGAAAACATTTTTCTCTGAAAATCCGTTTAAAGACATATTGGCATAACTAATATTATGAGTTCTACAGATGATGAAGAAGAAGCAGGATGCACAATGGTTTATCCTTGCAGTAAATGCGACGAAGCAAAGCCAAGAAAGGACTTTCACAAAATGTATGACAGAATTAAAATGGAAGAGATATTTTACAAAACATGTAAGGAATGCAGAGACAAAGTAAAAGCAACAAAAGAGTTAAGGAAGGAACAGAAGAAACGAATACAACCCCTGGAAATACATAGATTAAAGCCTTTGATACCATAGTTTTGCTATACTTACAACATGTAAGATCTTATATGTTGTAATTATAATTCGCTTGATTTAAAAGTTTCCCTGAAAATGTATTTAAAGAAATATTACCTTAATATAATAAGAGGAAAATGAACGATGATAAAATCAATAATTATATCAATAAAAAATGCTATGATTGTTGTCACTTCAAAAAAGAAAATATGGAATTGTATAAATTAAATTTGCCTATTGAAATAGTGAATATTATTATTAATTATTCAATGGATGAAGAAGATATATGCGAAAATTGTAAAACCTGGAGAGATAACCAAGCTATAATCAATTGTGTGTTGAGAAAAAAAATAAGACATAATAGAAATGTAGAAGATGACATTTTGATATTTTTAACTGTAAATAAAATACCACCTTATGAATATGTTAAACAGTTTCTTAAAATCAGTAAGAAAAAATATGTAATGATTGCTGATATATTATTGATGTTGTGTCATAGTCAAAAGAAAGGACAAGATATTAAAGAATATATTAAATTTTATATTGAAATTTATAAAAAGTTTAATGTTAAAAATACAGTGAGAGATATTAATATTATTTTTAAAATGATGTATGAAAGAAGTAATATTTGTCAATTAAATTATTATCCTGTACTGAAATTGTAATCATAATATAATAATAACATATAAATGTTTATATGTTATAATTATAGTTTAATTTTCCCATATAAGCCGTGGGGGTGCTTTCCTACCTAGGCCTTTCCTGATCCGCATTTTGCCATCCATATTTTACTGGGATTGTTTTCAAGATTTGGGTTAACGGTTTCAATTCTCCCTTTTCCATTGGTTAACCATTTTTCGGGGCGAACATAGCGTTCTTTTTTAGACTGTTTGTATTTGTTGGAAATGGGAAAGGGTCTCAGGTTGGATCAAGGGAGAAATTATTGAGATCTTGGGGTTGCGATCTTGGGAATGAAAAAATGTTGGTATGTAGCTTGGGTTTTTTTGGTGGGATTTGTTGAGGTGGTATGTAGTTATGATTGTTGTTATTGAATGAGTGTAAGGGTGATGTTGAGATGGGGTAAGAAATGAAGAGGGGTGTGTGAATATGTGTTTTTTGGTGTTGGATTGGTTGGGTGATTGAATTTGAATGTTGAAAATAGGCTGTTTTAGTGGGCGTATTCAGAATGTGCCAAAAAGTGTGGGGGGGACCCTATGACCGGATGGCAAAATGCGGACGGGAGAGGCCACCACTAACTTTTACACCCCCCCCACCGAAGAACCCGATTTTTAGAAAAGCCAATAACCGAAGGAATCGGACCGCAGAACACCCACGGGTTCACCGGACCCCCTTTGGGCCGAGGGGCGATGAGGCACAGCCCCACGGCGGCGGCCAGTAGCAGCAAGACGTGCTCCCGGCCCAGCAACTTCACGCGGCAGAGGAGGCAGGACAGCTCGCTGGAGCTGCCCGCCAGGTGCGCGAAGCACCTGAGAGAGGTGGCCGACGATTTTTCTGGGGCGACCCCCACGTGTTTGGGTCCTGGGATGCATCTAGTGGATTTCCATGGGGAAAAAAGGGCATCCGACTTTTTTGGGTTGGTTGACTTTAAAGGGGAACCCTTGCCAAAACAAAAACAAGTTGAAAAACGGGCGGAATCCGCTGGGCAACTGGGTGGTGACCCAAAATTTGGGTTGCTATTTCCATGAAGGGAAACCAAAGGGACACCAACCAGTTTGGGGACCTGCATTTTGGGAAAACCACACATGGGCTTCAGAAAAATGCGACACTTGATTTCAATCACCACAACAAGTCCACTGATTTTTCAATGTTAAAGGAAACCAACGAGTTTAGGGGACCCTGTCAGTGCGGGATACCCCGCAAATGGGTTGGAGTGGATGCTACACCCGGTTCATGAGAATTCGTTTTGGGCCTCCTCATTAGACTTTTCGCTCACTCTAAAAAAATAAAACCAAACATATTAAAACAAAAACACTCTCAGGTTCGCGAATTATTCCCCCCTTGAAAACCAACATAGGAAAAACATGTGTGGTGGTCAGACTCATGTCATTGGGGAGGCTATCAATGCGATCGCAGCTGGCCCGCGGCTTGGTGCGTCCTTTGGTGTAGGTCCTTCGGATGGCGCTGCTAGGATTCATCGGGTTGGTGCTGGCTGGGCGCTGTGGCGTGTTGCAACCGGGTGCGCCTGGTCACATTCGGTGCACTCCCGCTACATGTGTGCGCTTTCTTGAGGTACTCTTTCTAAGATCTTAAAGGAAGCCAAAAGGAACACCGCCAGGCTTTCGGGCCCGGTGGTTTGGTGTTCCGAGAGTGGTTTCCCATCTCCCCTCTACAAGAAGCAAGAACCCGTTCAAATCCAAATCCAAAACCACCAATCCAAACAGCAAACTAGGGGTTACCTGAGAACTTATGGTCTTCGTTGCGTAAAGGGAAGCCCGCTCCAACCTCAAGACTGTTTCAATTGGCCTCGAGAGGCAAGACACCGACTTCCGATCCACCTAAAACCAAGTAAGGGTAGTTCCCCATCAAGTGTTGAATGACACCCCCCTCAAAACGTTGGGCTACGTCACCCACCGAAAGGCCAACCAGTCAAAGGGAATCCACCAAGGGAAACCAACCCAACGGTTGGTTCTTAGGGACAACCTGGAAATCCTGGGCCTCGAGAGGTTAGAATTTTAGTCGGGGAATCCTCCCCCCAAAGGGGTGAGAAAGGGCACCTAGGGGACCGAGACTAAGTAGTAACCTGAGTATCTTACCTCCATGTGCCTCTAGCCGCGCCCTGGAAAAAATGGGAACATATGTCCAGAAGTGAAATTGATTCCTTTTAAAACCAACGGGGGAAAGCAACTAAAGAAGAGAACATACATTCTGAAACAAATGGAAGTGGGGGGCAGGTTCCTCGTCGAAACAGGCCGCATTCACCCTGAGGTGTCTTCCAATAAGGGTACCCACACTTGTAGTCAACACACACTGGTAACCTGACCATCTTCGGGGCCCCACACCCGGTCTGTCGGGCCGACTTCACGCCCGGAAAAAAAAAGAAAAATCCGAGCGGGGCGCTGCGGCACGCAGCACTCGAACCAGGCCATCGCCACCTGCGGGAGGTCCCGCAAACCTCAGAAAGTCCACGGCCGAAGAAAAGACCTGGAAGAGAACCCAAACCTCCCAGGTCCTCCAGAGAGGTTAGAATAAGGATATTTTTGTTTCTGTAGTCTAGGCAGGGGAACCTCCAGAGAGGTTAGAATAAGGATACCTTTTTTTTTTTCTGTAGTCTATTCTGGTAAGGGAACCCTCCCCCAAAAAAGGGGAGAGAAGGGCACTACTGGGGGACCTAGCCTCTACAACCCTTGGTGTGGTAGCAAGCACACCCGATTTTTGCAGCCCCCCCCACTGAAACAAGGACACAGAACCCAACAATAAAACAAAAAAACACTTGCCAAGAACAGTGAAGAAACACGTAAACAGTTACAGAACAGCAGAGCACCACAAACATGTCGAACCCCAAAAGGCAACGCCAAACGTGGCACAGCAACAACAACTTCACACAACACTTGCGGAGCACACACGTCAAAACACAAACAGCAGCACATATAAAATGCAACACATGCGTAACACAAATCATCTCCAATCAACTACGCACCGCGCACCATACAAAAACAGAACGACGAGAACCAAGACACAAGGCACCCCTCAAGAACTAGCCAACCAAACAAACAAAGAAAACCAACCAGAAAATACATGAAACAGGAACACGCAACACAACAAAAAACCAAGGCAACACACACACACAAACACCAACAGGCCGGCAGGCAGGCAGGCAGGCAGGCAGGCACAGACAGGCGGACAGACAGGCAGACAAACAAAACACGTCAGGCAGCCTCTCAGACAGACAGGCAAAATGACAAACACACAAACAACCAAACCAAACGAACTACACCAAACCAAACCAAATCACACCAAGCAATCAACCAAACAGACCAACAAGCAAGCAAGCAACATAATAATAATAAACAATCAAACTCAGGTCCAACAAAAATCAACCCAGGCAAGCAACCAAATCAACACACAAACACAAACGCACAACACAACAAAGCAACGAAAGCCAACTAGCAAACCAACAAGGAAACAAGCAAACATACAAACAAAAACATCAAACTCAACAAACAAACGCAAATACACAATCAAGCAGCCAAGCAAAGAAACAAAAACGAGCCAGGCCAAACCAACCCAAGCACCAAAGCAAAAAAGCAAGCACGTACACAACAAAACCAAACAAACAAATGCAAAACAAAGCAAAGCAACAAGCAACCAAATCAAAACCGGAAACACGATCATACACACACAAAAAACAGGAAGCGAACAAAGAAACAAACAAAGACACAAACAAGAAAGAAGTAAACAAACAAACAAGCAACCACGAAAACCAACAAACACGTAAGAAAGCAATCAAGCAAGCAAACACACAAACACACAAAAAAAAAAAACCAACAGGCAAACAAGCAAGGAAGCAAACAACAACAAACTAGCAAACAACGAACTAGCAAAAGGCAAACAAAGAACAAAATAACCAACAACGCCACACCGCACCACACCCCACCACACCCCACCCCACACCAAACCAAGCAAGCAAACACACAAAAGCAACAAGGCAACCAATCCAAGCAAGCAAAGAACCCATCTAAACAAAAGGCAACCAAGCAAGCAAGCAAGCAAGCAAGCAAGCAAGCAACTACCAAACCAATCAAGTAACTTAACATACAAACACAGGCAAGACAAGCAAACAAACAAACTAAACCGAACCATAACAAACGAAACCACACGAACCACAATCAGCAAAAAACACACACACACAACAACACAAAAACAAGTATATGAACAAACAAAACAAACCAACCACACCAAGCCAAGCGTGAAAAAATGACAAGCCAACAAACTAGCTAACAAGCAAACACATACACAAACAAAACACGCAAAGGGCAACAATGAAAACCAAACCAAACCAAGCAAGCAAACAATGAACAACCAAACAAACAGGCAACCAAGCAAGAACACAAACAAAATACAAAACAAGCATTCGAACAAACACACACACAAACAAACAAACAAACAAACAAACAAACAAAAAAAACAAACAAACAAACAAAACAGGCAAGACCAAGCCAGACAACCAACCAACCCAAATCAAACCAAGGAAAACAGACCACGGGCAACCTAGCAAGCAGAGAACAACCAATCAAAAGCAAGCACGCACAACCCAACGAAGCAACACAAAACTGAAAAACACAACAGACAAACCAAACAACATCACAACACACGACAAGCAAAACAAACAAACCAAATCAAGCCACACCAAACCAAGCAAACAAAGAACAAACTACCCAACAAAAATAATCCTGACAAAGGACACAAGCCAAAAACAAACAAACCAAGACAGCACAAACAAACAAATCAAATTGACACAGACCACGCCAGACCACGCAAGAACAACCAACCAGCAACAGGAAACAACCACCCAACAGAACAAAACAAGCCATACAAACAACACGAATCACAGGAAACAAACAAACAAACAAACAAACAAACATAAACAAAAACAAAACACGAACAGGCAAGCACACAAACAAACAAACAACACACAAACAAAACACGAACACACAAGCAACCAACCAAAGAAACAAACAAACAAACAACACAAAAACACGAACAGGCAAGCAACCAACCAAACAAACAAACAAAACCAAAACACAAACAGGCAAGCAAACAAAGAAACAACAAACAAAACCAAAACACAAACAGGCAAGCAAACAAAGAAACAAACAAACAAAACCAAAACACAAACAGGCAAGCAACCAACCAAACAAACAAACAAAGCCAAAACACAAACAGGCAAGCAAACAAAGAAACAAAGAAACAAAACCAAAACACAAACAGGCAAGCAAACAAAGAAACAAACAAACAAAACCAAAACACAAACAGGCAAAGAAAGAACCAAACCAACCAGCAAGTGGCCCCAGAAAGTGAAACCAACCTCGGGCCAGTCGCTCCGCCGAACTTCCGCATGGCTGCGCCGGCGCTCCGAGAGCCGGCGCTCCCCCGACAGTCGGCGCCCAGAGAGGTGGGGCACCAAGGCGGAGCTGGGCTCGGAGGCGGGCGTGTCGCGGAGGCGCTCGAGGACCTGTCAGAAGCCAAGAGGTGAGTCAAAATGAAAACCGATCGGTACAAGAATGGACCCAGAACCATGTAATGTAAAGAAATAGAAAGGCGGCCGCAACTAGACCCGGCAAGGGGACTGCCCCGTACTAAGCTTCATCTACGCGAGTTTTGATTGTGGCTCAGGCGATTGGATTGAACCCCCCAAAGCCGAACCCCCAAGCTCCCTCAAGCTCAGGTGGAGCCGAATCGGCGGTTTGGGGCCTGGCTAAGGGCGCGGTTTCCCATCAACCCTTTACAAGAATTTGGTGGCTTGGAGGTCATGCGTGGTCTCCCCCTTACCATCAACAAGTTTGTTTCGCCTCTAAACGAATGATTCTGGAGTCAGGGAACCCCAAGCCACGATAAGCACGTAGTAGTAGGACCTAGCAACCGCTGTTGGCTAACATCTGCAGTTGCAACCTCCAACAAAGCCGTCGTGGGTTTGATGTGGACGTTGTTTAATGTTCGTGGCTTTGTGATAGACCCTGCTCTTGATTTTGGTTCATGGAATCCTTCTACTTCCCACCTCAAAAAGGCAGAACAATTTTGCAGCCAGACCAAGATCCTACACAAAGTTAACTTGCTGATGGAAAAGCTGAAACATCAAGCGTCTGGCAATGTTTGGAGCCTAGAGTTTAGGTTGGGCCATTTTTAGCAACGTGACAGGTTGCAATCTTTGATCGCCCCGAAAGGGATTTTGTTTGAACAACATACATTGTCCTGGTTGCGCTGTAATTGTTTTTGTTCTGCCAGTCCGCTGCGCTGCTTTTGCTGCTCCCTTCGGCTTGCCCATGCGTTTTACACGTGGGCTTCCCCCTCCAAGAGCGGCGGAGAATCACGAAGAAAAGTTGACTCTTTTTATCGATTTTCCTGGGGGCTCCTGGCCGGGCTCCTTCTTTCATTTTGCACCGGCCTCCCCGGTAAAAACGGTAAAAGTGAACAAAAAACGTCTTTACATTTTTCCGGGACCTCCTCTTCATGTTATATGAGGGCGTTCTGGTCACAAACATTGCAGCTTATCATTCTGTGTCGCTATCCTCCAAAAATGACACGCAACAAAGGAACAGTGTCTTTCACACGCGCGGGGTGCGCATATAGGACGTAGCCGCACGCAACGCAAACTTGGTTTGCCTGAGCTTGCTTCTGAAACGTCGACAGCGGAAGACCCTGAGATGCGGCAGAAATTGGGCCGCGCGAGGCCGCGAGGCGCGCGGTCACTTGCAGATCTTCTCAAAAAGTAAGGCACGTACCAACTAGACAGTTTTGCCCCAATTCGCTTGGAAACGCAGAGTCGAAGTTCCAGTGAATAAATACGCTCGGAGCTGGCTTGGTTGACTGGCGCAAGTGACCGACCGCAAAATTTCAATCAACATCACCACACGTCGAACAAATTGTTCGGGCCAGCATTCCTGACGAGGTTGCTTTGCTGCAGGCATGCGTGCTGGCGAACAACGTAAGGTCATGGAGGATAACAACAAGCGCACTCTCTTGGGTAAGCCAAGATTGGCTCAAGCCCACAAGGATATCACCAAGCGATGGTCAAACACACCTTGAACATCTTCCGGGCGCAAGCAATGCTCCTGCTCAATCACAATGCCGGATTCAGTGTCCAGAAGCATAGCCTTCAGATAGTTGGCGGTGGAACACACGCAGGGTTCTCATCCGGTGGAATGTTACGATGCTGTGAAATCGTGTCAACCAAGCTGCAGGAATGCTGCGGAGATGCCTGCGGACCCGGTGACAGCGGTGGAACTTGTGTTCCCACATGCTTTTTCACAATAGATCCCTTCGCAAGTCCACGACGCGGAGCCACCGTGCGGCGCGCCCTGACGCGCCAGCGGCCGCAAAACCAAAAAAACGTGCGCGGCCGCTAGTGAATACGCATGCATAAAAAGGGACAGCATATTTATATAGAACATCTGTATGCAGGTACACAGAAGATATAATACACCTAGGGCTTCAAGAACCTGTAAAAATGTCGTACCCTGACTAAAACATCGTGTTTTTCTCGATTTTCTGAAAACATCGTGTTTTGAGGCCAAACACTCATTTAGAGCAAAGGGTCAAAGGCAAGGGTCGGGAGTGGATTCACACAGGCATCACCCATTAAGACTTCAACTGAGGGCAACGCTCTATACTGAGTATGCTTCAAATTCTAAGGACCACATTGATGCGCCTGACAGCCAGGGTGTGCAGCTGGCTTCTCTTGAAGCACCTTTCACAGCAACAGGCACCTGAAGACTGGCGCCAGGTCATACCGAACCAGTTTGAAGGGGGTGCTGGAATCCGAAAGCTCCTTTTGGTGCAAAACAAGACCAGGTGACAGCTTTTGAGATTGCTTTCATAAATTTTGAGTTGTTTTTAGAAAATGGGGCGGGATCCTGGCGGCTAACCGCAGAAACCCGTAGAAAACCCGTAGAAAACCCGTAGAAACCCGTAGAAAACCCGTAGAAACCCGTAGAAAGCCCGCAGCCCCAACCAAAAACATCGTGTTTTTGGAAAACATCGTGTTTTCCAACCCGTAGCTAAACCGTGCAGAACCCGTAGTAAAGCGTTTCAAACCGTGGAAATTCTATGGGTTTTTCGGGTTCAACCACGAATGCGCTAATTCGAGAATGTTGCTGGAAAATCGTGAGCAAAAGCACTGTCTTTGCTTGAGCTTGCACGCTGTTCGAAGCCAGCAAGCCCTCATCATGGCATTACTGCTTGACAAGTGTCATAAAACCGTGGTACTTTTGACTATTTGGGTCCCCGGCCTCCTTCTTTCAGATTGGAGTTGCGAAAGAGGAGTGGCGAATGAAGCTGATTTCGTTACGAGCGCAAAAGGGGAGGGCGACGGGAGATTCTGAGGTTGAGATGATGCTTCTGAGATCTTTTGAGAACGGATGACGAGTTGAAGGAATGTATGGGAAAATGCTTGAAATCGAAAATGCGGTGTTCCCGAAAACATCGTGTTTTCCCAAAAAACATCGTGTTTTTTGTAGGTATGACATTTTCATCGGTTTTTGAGGCTCCTGGTACATGTATATTTGTATGGAAACACACTGAAAGCTCACCATCCCGACTGTGCATAGCTTCTTGACGTATAAAGCTATGCGCTATTCAAAATTTCCAGTGTCATATTGTCCATGCACATGAGGCCAGGGAATTTCCCAAAGGAATATCATATTGGCAATTGGACACTTTCATCCTGCTGACCTTGGCTTTCACGCACGTGAAAGGGGGGTACCACATCATTGTTCGCAAGGACTAAAGTGAGCATCGCCAGTCCAGCGAACAATTCGTGCTTGTTTAAACAAGATCTCTGCCAGGGCTGACCGAAGTCAAAAAAGTAAAACACAAACATTTTATCGACTATCACAATTTCGCGCTAAAAACGGTAAACATTGTTTTCCTGCAAAGCGAAGCCGCTAGCTCGAAACATGCCCACAAGCCGGCTTGGCTTACTTGACACGCTTGGATTACCGCAATGACCCAATGAAAGGGACTTGTACACTCGGTGTCTTACAGCACAGGCTTCTCAAAGTGATACCCTTTTGCGGCCCATGAATCAACAAGGACCAAGCCTGAAGATCGGAAGCTCAAACGATTTGCTCTGGGCGTTCATCTTTACCTAGTACTTGACAGCTCCTTTCGGGACTGCGCTTTGCACCTCAAGCCTCGGGTTGGTTTGGGCTTCACCAAAACGCCTGAGATCTCATCAGTGGCGAGTGTCGCAAGAAATCAACAAAAGCTGTGAGCATCAAAGGATTTGGTCCGGTGATCAATTCCCTCACAGGACTCTCTACATGTCCAACCTACAGAAATCAGCACAAGGCAACTCACTTTGATCTGGCCCGAGCCACAACTTGAACCACCAACAGGTAATAAATGTTGCTTTTCTTTGGAACCCGTTTCACTCCGTCGAAATGAGAGTCCTTGTTTTTGCTCACGCTGCCATTAGCGGCCCCAGGGAGCTTGCGTCTTTTAGAGGTGGGGGGGTGGACAATAGCGTTCGCGTCTGCATGCACCCTTGTCGCTTCCGACAGCCGTTACCCTCATGCTGTCTCTGCCTTTCTTTCTGCGCTTCCCTTTGTGATCTTGCTTCGTTTTGCTGGCTTTTCGTCCGCTCCTGCTGAGCTTCGGGATCCGTCTTCTTTGTTCGCGGTGCCCTTGCTGCGCCTGGAGGACTTTCATCTAAGCAGCGTCTGCCAGGCGCGGAACCTTTTTTGGACTTTGTTCGGCAAACGCCCTTGCAGGAAGATGGGTGCTATTGCGGTTTGTTAGAGCCTCATCTGCTGCCCTTGCACGCTCTTTGGACCTGCGTTCTGCAGTCTTCTCTGCGTCGCCGTCCCGTCGCGTCCGTGCGCACTTCTGCTTCTCCTTGCGCGCAGCTCAGTTTGTTCTTTTACACTCGAGCCGTGAACGACCAGCTGAGCACGTACGTGTACTCGTATGTCTATAGGTGCAACACAAGCCAACAGAGCCTGTTGCAAGAGTTAGGTTAGCTGGCAGGACGTGCCTGAAGCCGGTTTTTGTCGGCCCAGCCTTTGCCTCTGAATGGTGTTCACCCAATAGAAATGAGCCACAAAGTTGTCAGTGTCATGGTACACGTAAGATACTTCAGCATGCCTCAAAATGCGACATTTCACAAAGTGCTGGACGGGTTGACGATTGCACTAAATCACGTGGCTGAGAAAGCGCGAGTTCAGCGGGGCCGCTAACAGCGGCGTGACCTCGATTTTGTTCTCCCTGTCTCAAGGGACCACTCCGGTCTGGCCTGAGTGTCAGAGGTGTAGGACGCCCCCACGGATGTCTTCACGGCTCTCACCACCAGCTCCGCTGATGTCCTGAGGCCGTCTGTGCCTGCCCCAACCAAACAATACCCATAGATTTTGGTCCATATTCTGTAGTGAACATCTATTTCCTCCAGTAGAGAGGTTAGAATAAGGGTATCAACTTTCTTCTGTAGTCTATTTTAGTGGGGGAACCCTCCCAAAAAAAAGGGTAAACGGGCACAACTGGGGGACCTAGTTGATGCGTTGCACAACAAGTTCAATAGAGATCCCATGGTTGTTCAAAGGCATGTGTTTAGAACATGGCCCAAATGCATGGTTGATGTTCGGAAAGAACGATTGGTATTGGGTCGCATCATGAAATAATTTCCCTTTAAACGCTGTATCGGCGTGGTCCGAAGTTGAAAAGACCACCGCATATCCATGCGCCAATGCATTTCGAAGGGTCAATGGTAAATGTACGTATTCAAATGCCAGCTCACTTGACCAAAGAACCTGCAGCCAAGACTAACAGGGATCCTTACATTATACACCTGAACATTGCAACTTGTAAATGCTGGTTTCCATTTCTTTATCTTGTTGTTGATTAAAAAGCCAGCCATGTTTCAAATGGTTGCAAACTGGAGATTTCTTTTCAGGAGCCGACTATAGGACTCCAAACGAATCCCAGGTGAAAAACGGCCAACTCGGCTTCGGACCCAGAGGTCTCTTCACGGAGGCGCGACGAAGTCGAAGTTCTTAATCCCGTACCAGACTGTGGACGCAATCCATTGCGCACCAAAGAAAGCCTGGAAGTGGATGATTCCGCAAATTGCAACAACCCATCGTCTTTCATGGTTTCTCAGGTGGTGCAGGATTGCTATCCGCGGGATTGTTGGAACCTAGCTTCTTCAACCTTGTCTGAGCCAGCTTATTCAGGTACTCTTTAGGTACCAGGGGAACCTTCTGCGGGCTTGGAGCGCCTTCTAGATGAGTTTGATAGGATTCCAACCCCCTCTCCGACCCAGGCCCGCTCCGCTTCCTTCAAATAAGATCGCAAGGCCTTAGTTGAGGAGGAGTAGAGGGCTTGAATCCACTTAACTACCAAAGGCTCAAGGACAACTAGGTCCTCTGGTAGAGAGGATAGAATACGGGTGCCCTTTTTTTGTTGTTGTCTATTTTAGTAGGGCAACCCTCCCCAAAAAAAAGTCGGCAAAAGGGCACCTAGCTGGGGGACCTAGAAAGGCTCAAAGGCAAACCAAGGGATTGCAAACGAGTTGTTGGCGACATCTCCTAAACTTTGGGGCCCGATTTATTTGATGCCCTACCGGCCAAAAAACACCTGGAGTGTTGCTTGGGATTTGACATATTTACCCCGGCTAAGACCTGGAGTTGCCCTTGGCACATAAATTGATAGATGGGTTTAAGTCTAACTTGATGTGATAAAACATGAGTGAATCGTTTCCCTTGGTACCTGCCCCATTCTTTCCAGGGATCCGAATCTTTCCAGAAAACCTCCAGAAACCCAGTTGAAGACGGCGATCGATTTTTGAAAGGAACGATGATCGAAAAGAATGGAAAAGGAATCAGCCCCGGGAAAAATGGAGCATGTCATATAACATGCACTCGACTCCAGCCGCTTCGGCATCCGAGCATAGGTATCCTTTCGGAAAAAAATAGATGGGTTTCCCTGGTACATGGAATAAAACCGTCTAAACCAGTGCCTTCTATGTTTTTTAGAAAACTAACCTAAAAGGGACACCTACTGTGGATGGACAAAATCCTGCACCACTTTGAAACCATGGACAACCACTGTTTGTTTGGCATTAGCAGGGGGATCAAATCATTCCAGGACTTCTGAACGGTGGTGCCTAAGAGGATTTCGCAACCATCCGCAGTCCGCAGTACGGTTACACTATACTCCTAGGTCCTCCAGTAGAGAGGTTAGAATAAGGGTACCAACTTTTTTGTCCGTAGTCGATTTTAGTAGGGGAGCCCTCCCCCACAAATTGTAGAAGGGCACTACCGGGGGACCGAGACTCAGAAAGCGATCCGGTATGACTCCGAGTCTCAGCAGCGCCACCGGATCTTCCAGGCGCAAGGCTGCCTCCGGCAGCTTGGCCTCGAGCCTTCGCTCCACGTCCACGGAGGCCTCGCCGTAGATCTCCAGCCACCTCCGGCCGTGGCCGTGGCCCCGCCGCCCCAGGCCGAAGCGGAGGCTCGTAGCCGCCCGGTTGGAGTGGAACCAAGCCGAGGACACCAGCCAAAGGAAACCGAAGGGCAAATTTTTGACCCCCAAAAAAAAGAAGAAGACGAGAAAAGAGAAGCATGAAGCAAAAGGAGATTGCAAAGAGACATGGGCTCCCTTTGGCTTCTCATTCCATGCTGTGGATGGACGAAACTCATTTCGCACCACTTGGAAACAGTGGTTGAAACCAAAACATTGGTTGGTATTCACAGGGGGAATCATCAAAAACCAGGGTTTCTTAGGTGGTGCGGAATGGATTTCGTCCATGCACAGTAGGTGGCCTGTTGGAAAAATACATGGGTGTCCCTGGTAAATGGAATAAACCCCATCTGAACCAGGGCCCTCTATTTTTGAAGCAAACCAACCAAAAAGGACACCTATGATTGCAACCAGTGACGGGTAGCAAAAATCATCAGGTATCACTGGATTCCCCCCAAATGGGGGTTCGCCATGCTTTTCACGGGGGTTAAACCCCAGGGAAAAAGGGGAGAACATAGCCCAACAAATGCGCGTTCAATACGTGGGGCTTGATCCATATCTTTCTCGGCCCACAAATGACCAAGGCCAACTTTCCCCATTGGGAGAGATCTCGTCTTTTTGGCGGTTTATCAACCAGTCATCCCATAGGACCTCTTGAACGATCAAGAGTTGAACGATCGGTGGCTTCCCTTGAGCCCCGAGAATGGGATTCCGACGTCGGGCTCAAAATTGCGGTTTAGGTTTGGAGCCCGACCGGAGGCGCCAACGGGACGAAACAAAGAAATGTTAGAAGACATGTGGCCCAAAGGCAATTGGAACCTTTGAACCCGCAACAACTGGCCACCTTTTATGGGAAGGAGGGGGGCTTAGGTCTAGGTCCGGGGAGCTTTGCCTTGGGTCGGTTGGAGGCCCGGGACCTCTGCATGCGCCCCGTTTGGTTCAGCACCCGCCTCACTTGAAACGTTTCTGAGTGGTGTTCCTCTGTAATGTTGACCCCGGATTAATAAACCGGTTTATAGGGGGGTGCTCACCTCCAATAGTGATGACTCTCCACTGAAACAGGGGCACCCCCTATTAATCAACCAGGGGTTTATTCATCCGGGGTCAACATTATCAGTGACCCTCAAACAAGACACGCCCATTGGCGGCGATGGATGCTGGTGCGTATGCCACCTGTAGAAGTTTGCAAGGTAGGCAAGAAGCCCTATGCTACGTAGTCTGCGTACCTTCAGAAGCCTCCAAACCGCCGCCTGTTGCGTCGGGGTTTGCCTCACAGAATTGGCGGCAATGAGAGGGCTAGGGTAACCTAGCACGGAAGGCTTCCGGCTTCCCCCCGTCGGAGTCAGCATTGCTTTCAATAATTTCATGATCACAGCAAACTGTTTGTAACTAGTAAACCCCATGATAATGCCTGGGACGTGGAGGCCTTACTAGATGTTGTACACAAAGCCAACAAAAAGTCCAAACTGTTCGCTTACCGCTACAATGGACCAAACCCCAAAAAGTGACTCACGTCCGTGCGGAACTCAGGGAGTGAGGCATCAACTAGCTAGAACCACTTCCTCACCTATGGGGGGTTTTGGGTGCCCTTTTGGGATTGAGGACGTGGCTGTGGTTTTCAACACCAGTGGGATCCCATTTTGGGGTAGGTGAATAAATCCTCCCGTTTTAGAACCTATTTTACTGGGGGTGGGGATGTTCACTGGGGGTACGGGATTTTTTAGTCTATTTTAGTTGTTGGATGGGGATGTTCACTGGAGGGTAAACCCGGGTTTTGACCCATGGCCACGTGGCTCGATGAATCCGAGGGACTGCCGTATGAAGGTCTTCAGCTCTGCCGCCAGCTCCCGCGGGTCCTCCACCCCTTCGCAGGCGCAGTCGCGGAGCTGTGCCGCCAAGCGCCGGAGGAAGGTTGCGAAGTCCCGCTTCCTGGCGCGAGTGCGAGAGATGCAGGGAACCAAAAGGAAACCAAAAGGAAACTACAATCAACTTTGAGTCCACCTACCAGGGTTCAGTTTTGGGGCCAAACTTTCGCATGTTTCCTACCAGGGTTCTATTCTAAGGGAAACCAACAGGACACCTGATGCGGGAGATGGGCCCCGAGAAATGGAACGACCCCCATGCAACCACAGACCTGGTGGGCATTCTGAAAGGGGATCAGGTTGCTTCCGACTCATGCCCTTCCCGGAAAAAAGCTGAGGCCTTCGCAGGATGAATTGGCGACCGTCGATCATTGTTCCACAGAAGGTGGAACAAAAAGACCCCCCCTGCCCAGTAATCAAGCCTTCTTCTCAGGAAACCAGCCAAAAACCGAGGGGGAAACAGCGATCGGTGGTGGAAAAGAACAGGGTGCAGGAGTTCGTCTATCTACAATAGGTGCCCTTTTAGCAAAATAGATGGGTTTCCCTGGTGAATGGTTCATGAAACCCATCTAAACCAGCGGAAACCATCTTTCGGCCTTTGGAAATGCCTTGCATTTGCTTTTTTGCCCCTGGAAAAATCAGAATATATGTTCGGTAGTGACATCGATTCCCTTGAAGGCCAAAAAGGGAAAATAACAAATAGCCGCTTCAGCAAGTGGAAGTAGGAAATGGAGGGAATGACCCTGAGATACTTGATATTGTCGGTGGTTTCGTACGGGTTTGTCTCAACATGTGGACAGCACATATTTGGCAGTGTCTCTTTCTTTTGGGGGGAGACCCTCCAAAACTGGCTGGTTTTCCTTCTGGCTTCCCATAAAACCAACCAAAAAAAAAAAAAACAAATAGCGGGTCCCCGGCTACAAAAAAAACGAGCCACCCGTTTGATATTGATGGTGGGTACTTACCGGTTTGTCTCTTCCGGAAATGGCCGGGTGTTCGGCTTCGTTCGCTTCGATAGGCGAAAAGGGCCATCCCTTCGCCGCTGAGGCTGAAAATGCAAGTAGGGTTTGTACACCGCACCCAGGGATCCTTACCGTGTACACCTGAACATTGCAACTTGTAAATTGTAAATGTGAAATGGTGGTTTCCAACTTATTTTTGTAAATGGTGGTTTCCAACTTATTTTTGGAAATGGTGGTGTTCAACTTATTTTTGTAAATGATGGTGTCCAACTTATTTGTAAATGGTGGTTTTCAACTTATTTTTGGAAATGGTGGTTTTCAACTTACTTTTGTAAATGGTGGTGTCCAACTTATTTTTGTAAATGGTGGTTTCCAACTTATTTTTGTAAATGGTGGTTTTCAACTTACTTTTGTAAATGGTGGTGTCCAACTTATTTTTGTAAATGGTGGTTTCCAACTTATTTTTGTAAAACTTATGCTTGTAAATGGTGGTTTCCAACTTATTTTTGTAAATGGTGGTTTCCATTTCTTTATGTTGGTGAAAAAAGACCACATGTTTCAAATGGTTGCAAAATGTATCCTTTAAGGAGCCCTGGCCAGTGGCCCTGGCAGCACAAGAGTTCGAACACGTGTGGGGCTTTGACTCACTTCCCGAGATGGGCCAAAAAAGTCCAAACGATTCGATTTAAAATCCGAAAAGTTCAGAGTCCAGGAACTCAGGAGTTGAGTCACATGAGGAAGCCACCATTCCTACTTTGCCCTGTGTTGCCTGTGGGAAAATCTAGAATTGAGCTCTTTCTGGCTGGGTGATGTGCAAAGCAAACATCCACCCACACAGCAGGAAGCATGTTGGAAAAACCAACTGGGCAACTGGCCAGAATGAACGACACCTAACTTCACTCGGACTTTGTTTGTTGAGTTCCATGGGTCCCTTGGAGCCTACATTACATGGTGCTTGAAGGCTTGGCCTGTACGGCCCAGCACGGCTCTAACAATATGAATCTCGGGGCCACAGGGAAGTCCTTGGATAGCATCTGAACGAAAGCAAAGGTCAAAGGCTGAATGTGTACCTCCCTGGTATGAACCCCTGATATGAGCCCCTTGTCTACGGGTCTATTAGCTGTTAGTTGCGGCTTGATTTTGGGAATTCAGCCCCCAAAACGGGTCCAACATGGCCATGGGTTCATATATGGCTGTGGCTCAAAAAACCGGTACCAAAATGGAACCCTGGTAAGTGGAAACATGGACCAAAACCTGCGTAACCCCTCCTGCTTAATTTTGAGCCACACCCATATGGACCTGTACAACGAGTCTTTGAAAAGGGTAGCCTGTCAAAGGCTTCGTTCCTCGTCGCCTGTTCAAACATCGCCAAGTTGAAGTGAGCTCCTTGTGGTTGAGAGACACCAGACGAAACCAAACCACTTTTGGGACCACACTTTTTGAGACAAACCCCTTGGGGTGCCTGAAAACCAAGGGAGGACGGTTGGACGGTCGGACGGTCCCATTTGTGCCTTTCTTCGAAGGCGTTCTGTGCCATGAAGACGTTGGACTTGCAGAGTTTGTCCAGCTGGTCATCCATGTCCTGATCGAACTCAAACTTCCAATTCCATTCTTTCCAGGGATCCTTCTTCTCAGGAAACCATCCAGAACCCAGGGAAACAGCTGGTTTTTGAAAAGAACGATGGTTGAACAGAATGGGAAATCAACCCCTAAAGAACTGGTAAAACGGCAGAAGCAGGGCTCGGGGAAAATAGAACATACCCCCATGATTCCTGCTGAAATCTGAACAAAAAGCAACAGCAGGGGCTTTTCAGCACGAGTCTATGACAAGGCAGTCTTCAACCATCCAGTCTTTGAACCTGATGTTGTCTGCATTCTTCGATCCATTCCAATCAGGTGGTACTTAAGGCTCGTCTGCAAAATAGGCAAGCACCAACAAGAGTGCCTCACGCACAACGGTTACGCAGGATCCTAAACAGAGTTCCTTGTATGTCCCCTGTGAACACCACTCCACCAAAGGAGGCTAACTGGAAAACAACAACAACAACACCGGCTGCTTAAATCACACGAAAAGGAACACACTTGCTTGTATAAAAAACATCCCAACAAGAGAAGCAGTACATGTTCGCCTCAGCCAACAACGAACAGCATGTTTAAATCATCCAAGCCAATCATCAGAACCTCCGCATCCCGGCCAAACGATCTGCCAACTTTACCATAGTTCCGAAACCTGACAAGGGGGGATTTTCGCTCCTACACTAGGCCGCCCCTCCAATTCGCCAGGTCGGCGCGGCAGGAAACCAAGTCACAGTACTTGGCCCTATGACACCAAAGTTTCACCATACAAGTATGGCCAACTTAAGAAAAATGGAAACCCAATCCAATTCGCCAGACCGGCACGGTCTGCAGGACACCCGAAGCAAAAAAAACAAAGAACGAGAAAAATCATGGGAGAAAAAAAGGATTAAACAAAAAAAACGGAAAACACCGAAAAAAAACACATAGAAAAAACAAAAGAAACCCGAAACAAAAACAAAAAACACCTCCGGCCGCGGCGCCGCGATGTAGCGCCGGTAGGTCTCCGTGAGCGCGGCGGTCTGCTCCTTCGCCTCGGTGCGCCGGGACTGGACGCGGTCGTCGTACTTGGCGATGCAGAAGATCAGCTGAAAGGTGCCTCGCGGACGGTAAGGGGTGGCAAGCCTTGTGAGGAAATGATCTGTGAGGGTTCCTTGTGGCGGGAAGCCAGGTGTAGCTGGCAAAACGGCATGTAGCTCCAGACCACGGGTTGAAATTTAGTCCTTTCTGTGATGCCAAAATGTTGACGTTGGGTTTGGGGAGCAAACATTCTCAATTTTTAGACTTCAAGTGGTTGGATTTCAACCACTAAACCACAATAAGCAAACATGTAAAATGATTCCCAACAACAACCATGCGGAGTTTTTTGGGTCAGTGCGAGTCAAGGGGTGGCTCGTCGTTTTTGACTTCGCAGATTGGTAGTGGTAAGGCAAGACCAAACGGAAAAAGAACACTTTGGGGTCCCCCTCAAAAACGACACTGCCATAACATATACATATACATGTCTGAATGTGTGTTTGTGTGTGTGTTTTGGAAGACCCCTTTTGAGGTTTGCTTGAAAGGGAAAGGCTCAGGCAACCCTTCAGTTGCCAAGTGTTGGCTGTGAGTTTCTCACAACCAGCGAACCTCACAACATGGCACCTTGAAGAAAACAAACAGTTTGTTGATTTTGTTGCTTGGACTGGAACCAAGAAGATAATGAGTATTTGTGAGTGTTTCTCGCTGTTTTGGGTTGGACTGGGACCGCAGAGCCAAACGATGTCTCACTGTGTGATCTCAGATTCCGACAAGTTGCAAGGCAGCAGGAAGAGAGTGTCAAGAATCTCCACCACGCAGTACGTTCCTAACGCTTGCGTGTTGCCTAACGCTTGCGTGTTGCGCCAGCTTTGGGCTTTTTGCAGCCCCCAAAAAGAACCAAAGGGCACTTACCAAAGCCCACAAAGGCACAGTCGCTTTGATTGGTTGGGTTGCAACCCGCTTTGTGCAAGGAAAACCCAATCCGTTTCTCGTGGGGACTTGCAGGTGAAGGGGGGGATTCCGGTCCCGTTTTTGCGAGGTCGGGATAAGATGGATGCGGGGAGCACATAGGGGGCCCGCCCACAGTAAGCTCTGGGACAACCTGAATCCCTGCTCATCCCTCATCCCGATTCGCTGGCAAGAAAACAAAACAGAACAACTTGTGCAATCAGAAAGCCTTGCCCCATGACTGCCTTCCTGCAAATGCCACCACTGGATCTCCCTGTTGTAACCACTCAGAATCGTGGTTGTAAGCGCCAATACGTTCGAACATGGCGGAAACTAGTGAGTGTCCAGTGTTGTTGTATCACATTTGACAAATGTGCATACCGTGGGCAATTCACTTCTGAAATATCACACTTTCTGTGATAAAAAAAAGAAGAACAAAAAAAGCTGGCCATCCCCAGGGAAGGTTTCGTGGGCATCACAGAAAGTGGCCCTAAAACCTAGATTTGTTTTTACAAAACACACTCACACACACACATTCGCACACCGAAGAAAAACCTAGAGCTCCCTAAACCACTCCCTCGCACACCGAAGAAAAACATATTTCCGTGGCTCTGAAGCCGTACTTCTTGTGCACGATGCAGCCGTGCTGGTAGGCGCCCACCACGTCGCGGAGCGCTAAAGCGAGGCCCACGCCCGCCGCCACCATCAAGCTCGCCTCGAGGCGTAGCTTGAGCTCAATGCCAGGGTCTCGTCAGTTGTGCGTGTGGATGTGTCCCTAAAAAAGGTCTTCTTTCGGGCAAATTCCACCCCGCCCCCCCACCGGGCCCACCCCCCGCCCCGCCCCCCCCAAAACAAAAAGAAGTGTCTGTTGAGGATTAGGCATTGCGCGTGTGTTCTAGGGGTAGCTACGGTTCCATTCTGCCCAGGGATCCTTCTTTCCAGGAAACATCAGGAAACCATCAAAGACCCTGGGGAAACAGCCGGTTTTTGAAAAGAATGATGGCTGAAAAGAGTTGGGAATCTGTGGATGTGTGTGGATGTGTCCACCCCCTCTCCGACCCCCACCCGTTCCGCTTCCTTTAGGGCCTTACTTGAGGAGTAGGAGTAGTGTGTGTGTGTGTGTGCTGGCTTTGCCGGGAATCTGGAAAGCATGGTTAGAATAAGTCGGTACCCGATTTTTCTTCTGTAGTCTGTTTTAGTAGGGGAACCGAATCTCCCAACCAAACAAGGGGTGAGAAAGGTTGCACCTAGCTGGGGGACCTAGGTGTGTAGTTTCTTGAGGATATGGCAGCGGGTCCAAAAAAAGGGTGCCCGAGATGGTTGTCTTGGCAAAAGGAAACAAGGACCACCACCTGGGGTTTCCGGAGGCCATATCTTTAAACCCACAGCCAGATGGGTATGGCTCAAAAAACCGGGGGCAACCCCAAAATGGTGCAAGCCGATCGGTAAGCGGAAACATGAAAACCAAAACCTGCGGTTTGCCCCTAGCCCTTTCATTTTGAGCCACTGCCATGTCCAACTGTTGAGATTGGCTGCCCGGAAACCAACGGGAAACAGGATTGGATTGTGCTGGGTCCCTCTATCTTGATGAGTAGCCATGAAAACCACACAGCCTTATCAGGACCGTGCAAAGCTTGGGGGTCTTTCGGGGGCTGTGGCTTGTTGTATCGGAGAGAGTCGAGGTTCACCCTGTTTTCTAACCCACTTCGGAAGTGGGTCATAATGGTTGTAAATGGGACAACAAAGGTTGGGGGACTTGTAATCATAGCTATAGCCTACCTACCAAGTGGGCTGAACATCCAAGTAGGTGCCATTAGCATATACCGCAAAGGCCCAAATACAGGGTACCTTGGGGGTAGCCAACCAGGGCTCTTCGGGCCATAGGCTGTGGCTTACAGGAATTGCCAAGCTTCGAACCATACAATCAATCTGAGTAAATCATACTATTTCACCAGCCTGAAATCATATGTGGTTGGGGGTTATTCCCCACATACACCACCATTTGTGGTGATTTTCGTGTGAGGTCGTTTTATTTTTCTCCCCAGATCAATGGACAGGTGTGGCAAATGGTTGTCCTGGCTTTTTGTTGGGGTCCATCGCAGCACCCGTTCCAGCAGCCCCCACAGGTGTCTTTGTCTCACCTGACCAAGGTGCTTGTCATGCTTTGCTGGCCGCCCGGAAATCGGAATGAAACATCCATTTCCCGGGTGTCACGGGAAGTCTCAAGGAATCCCCCACATAAGGGATCTTCATCATGGGTGGCCAAGGTCGTTTGAACCTGTTTTTTTTAGCTCGCGAATTCGCCAAGAGAAGTGTGTGTGCAAAGTAAAACCAGCTCAAACGAGGCCAGTACTTTTGTCTTCCATAGGGCTTACCTCAGGAAATGGCTTGGACCAGAGTTGTGATCTTAGACCTGGATCGAGCAGGGACGTGTGCAACCACAGCTGACACTAGCTCAACTTCCCAGTTCGTGGTTTTGATTGGTGAGGTGTTGCCCGCTTGGTCTCCCAGCCTCTACAAGAACCAGGGGTTCCAACCCCAAACTATCCAAACCACCAACCAGGGTGTCCCGAATAGCGCAAGTCCGAACCCAAGGCACACTTAGCGAACCCAAAACTAGGCCCGAACTCGGCCCTAATCAGAGCGGAGCCCTTCCCGAAGGGCTTCGAAGCCCAAGCGCTAGGACTCCCACATGCCATTACGGTGAGCTAAGGGCTGGCTCGGGGGATCACATGACGGGCTTGAAGGGGAAAAAAATAGAGGGAAGTTCGGAAACCAAACCAAACCAACAGGTTCCCAACAGGTAGATACCAAAAAAGCCGATACAAACCAATTCCAAACCAACCAAAAATTAGGGGAAGCTCAGAACCTGTTGGGTACCAATCCAAACCAAACCAAACCAAGCAACTGGGCAACTCTCTCAGGATCTTCAGCCCGAGCAAGACTTTCAGAAAGGGGCCTTCGGTGAACATCCCAGCATCAACTCGGTCGACGGGGTGGGTTTTACTCTGAGAAAGCAATGGATTCAAAGGAACCCCTCTAAACTGGCCCAATTAAAATCAAACAGGGGGTTACTGAACACCCAACCAACCAACCAACCAACCAACCAACCAACCAACCAACCAACCAACCAACCAACCAACCAACCAACCAACCAACCAACCAACCAACCAACCAACCAACCAACCAACCAACCAACCAACCAAAAAAGGACCCTGGAAAATCGTTTTCCCCCTGCCCAAGCCTTTTGTGATCTTGAAGAGTTGTGCTCCAAATGTCACAAATCAACGCTCCTGATGCGCCTGCGTCCAGTCGTAGATCTTACCCATCATCATCGGCAGAAACGCCGGACATGGCAAGACCACGGGGCAGGACATGGCGACGCAGCGCGGCGCACAGAATGCAGCGCGCGGAAAGAACTTTGGCGAGGCTGGGTCCAAATCAAAGGCTGGGTCTATGGGCGCGTGTTTTGTTGGGTTACCTTTTCTGAGGTGGTGTTGAAGGGAGACCCAAAGGAAACCATCCATGTTGCGGGTCACCCCATTTTGCCACGTATACGGGTGCATATCAACCTCGGCCTTTGCCCAAGAAGCCAATATTGTTTCACACTGGTCCATATTGTAAAGATATGTCAAACGGCATCCCAGAAATATCAATATGTCTTTCTTAAGGTTGGACCCCCAAAATGGGTGGGTCCTTTTGGTTTCCCTTGAAAGCCGGCGTGCCAACTCGGCCATGTTGGGCTGCTTTGGGGCACGAGACCTGCGTAACGAGGCACAGTATGTCCCAAGACCCTGGTGGCAGAAATTGCGAGCTGCGCTTGTTTCAACCTTTCCAAACACGGGAGATATAGTGTGTGTGTGTGTGTCATTGATTTTCCTCAAGCAACGAATCACAAAAACAACCAGGGACATCAACTTGCATACTCCGCCAAACAAATAGGAACCCAAGAAGCTTTGTAAAAGAAGGTTTCTCTCAAGATGTGCGTTGGAGGGGGATTCCATGTTCATAAGCAAATGGCATGAAGCCCCAGTTCCGCCATGTCTGGGAAGCGGCTGCAGCAGGTGAATCATCGGCATCAGCGTGATACGGGTTCACTGTGCAGGCGTGATACTCTTAATCGGACACCAGACGCCCCATTCAATATACCTCTGGGTTTTTAAGAAGATTGTCCCACTTTACGAAGGATCTTTCACTTGTTTTGGGGCACGCACTCACACACACACACCCACCCACCTATGAATCTGAGTTGACTAATGTGGTTCAACAATAGGAGAAAAACACATACCCGCAAAACCCCGGCGTTAAGCCCACAATCTTGCCGTGTCCTTTGGGGCTCTAAAGAGAAACCTGGGTCAGTTTTGTTTAGGGTACTTTGTTTTCTGGTCGTAAAGGGAAACCGACAGGAAAACCGTAATTCGAGGGGGTCCCCCACCAGCAACAAATGGGTATGGGTCAAAATTAAACCACCAGGGGACCGCAGGTTTTGGTCCATGTTTCCACTTACTAGGGTTCCATTTGAGGTACCTATTTTTGACCCACAGCCAAATGACACACCCATTCACGGGGACTCACGTCTTGTTCTTGAGAAAAAAAAAAAAAAAAAAAAAAAAAAAAACACCTGGGTGTGAATGTGGCAGGACATCAGTCGGTATATTTGTGTTCACCATCTTGTGAGGTCCGAGGTCTTTCGTCATGAAGACTCATCGCCTGCGGGTTTCGAAACGCTCAGCCCTCGAAGAGACAAAGCCACACCCATTCAACAGGGGTTCCCTGACTAAAACCCTGGCCGTTCCCCCAAACTGGGCGCACGGTATCAACCACATGTTCAGATTCTGACTTTGGTCGACCTGATGAAAATGTATAAACTCATGAAAACCCCATTTCAGAGAAAAAAAACTCGGCTGTCCTCACATCCCCTGCCAAAAGTGGCCAAACAACTTTTGCTGGGCTAAATCGACACCCGGCCACTAGAACCAACTAAAACTAAAAGCCACTACTAGGTCCTCCAGATTTGAGAGGTTACACTAAGGGTACCAACTTTCTCTGTAGTCTATTTAAGGGAACCCTCCGCCACAAATTGTAAAAGGGCACTACTGGGGGACCTAGACCAAACACCCAAGGGGAAACCCCTGGATCCCACTGCCCCCCCAAATCGCCCGACTCGGGGACCCCGGCGAAGCTCCCAGAGACCCGCGGCAGCGCGGCGGCCAGGGACCGGCGGTCCATGCGCTGCTGCTTCGCCAGCGCGATGCCTCCCGCCAGGGGCCGCCCAGAAATCGCAGGGGTCGGATTTTTTTCGTCGAAGGGCGCAGGGAGAAAAAAAACACGCACACAAGGGTCGATGGTGCCAGCTTCTTTTTTTTTTCTTTTGGGGGGGGCACACAAAAACACAAGTTTCAGCTGTTTGTTTCTGTCGCTGTGTTTTTTTGGAGGGGGGAAAACTCACACAAGGGTCGATGGTTTCAGTTTTTTTTTGGTTTTTTTGGGGGGGTTCGGAACCCTTCATTCCGGCGGGGTTGAGTCGTTTGGGGGGAAGCCCTTCTTTTGGTAGGATAAGGGAAAAACCAAGGCACCCAACAAGAACGCCTGCCGGGACTGAAAAGAACATGTCTATATCTAAAGAAAAGGATCAATGGGTAAAGGGATGTTCCACCCCAGTCTACTCGGGCCTTTGCATGGGTGACATATTAACCAACACCCACAGAGTGTTCCCGTGGGCCTTCTCCCGTACAAAACCAAATGGTGAGAGAAATCCGGGGCATGGTTGTTGAAAACAGGTGGCTTTTCATTGCGATCGATTTCTTGCCATGGCTCCTCCTAAATCTTATAAGACTTGATGTCAACAGCAAAGTGGTTTCCCAATTGCCAGACCTCCCAACATATACTCTGGCCCACTCATGTGATTCCCGTTGGCATTATCTGAATACAAGGCACGCTTTTCAAGATGCAAGTTTGTGATAATGACCCTGCCAGAGTTACCAAAGGCCCCAACAACTCCGTGGATTCGTGAAAGTCACCAAAAGAATTCCAACTCTTTCTAAGAACCACTTCTAAAAGCTCTTGGAAACCTAGACAAGTACCAACAACAATCTACACACATCTGGACCAGTCTAAAATAAAACATCCAAACAACAGCAGAAGCAGTGCAAAAGAGTTAAACATTTTAGACGCCAGAAGTCACAAACAAAAGCTGGCATTCTTCCCTTTGGCAGGTCATTGTCAGTAGCAAGCAGTGCCTGTGTTTTGCAAAGGAACCTGATGGAAACTTAAACAACAATTCGAGCCAAATTACACATGTGGTTGTCAATCAAAGGGGCCCTTTTTGGCATCCCCTCCAAAGGCGTCCCAGACCGGCGGCGGCAGCGTCCAAAGAGGAACCAGCCATAATTTCGGACAACTCATGTGAAGAGGGCCAAAAATTGAAGCGCTTCTTTCGAGTTTCCAAAAGCCCAAAGCCCGCAGGCGGGCTTTAAGAACGGGGATCGAGGCCCTCGAAGACTTCATGGGATCCCCAGGCCACCCGAAGATCCCTGTGGACGAAAACCAGGTCTTGGCACCACAAAGTGAAACCATGGGCAGCCATCTGTACAGGGGAATCATCATAGGGATTCTGCGGTGGATTTCGCAGCGATTACAACCGGGGTACACCCAAACGAGTAAGTACATGCAAACGAGGATCCCGCGGAAGTCGAAGCAACTGCGGTTTTGGGCGGGCGTACCAACTCAGCCCCAAGTTGAAGTGAAGAATCGTTGCGGGCACATCGAAGCACATTCTGAATTAAGATCGGAATTCCCATCCTGCCTGGCGGGCTCTTTAGCCAACTCTGCCAACACATCCCAAATCTCCATCATCCCACAATCGCACAGAAGCATCAAAAAAATAATGCGCGCACGCACACAGATATACATACACACACACACAGGCGGTCAAGTTTCGCCAAATTCTGCGCATGAGCATTTCGAATTCCGAGCAACAGGTGAAACGCTGCCTTCCAAAGTCGGCCTCTTGCTCCAGAGATCTGTGCATTGACTGGTTGCACGAAAATGGGCACGTCATGGAAGTAGTGTGATTGTTGCTAAAGCTTAATTTAGCGGGCTACTGAACACAAGTTGCCTTGCCCAAGGCAAGAGTGCTGAGTTGCGCTGCGAAAAAGGAGCTACTCCGCTTTGGTTCAGAGTCCGACCCTGGACATCTGCGGGTCGCGCGTGGTTTTGGCAGGTGCACATTCCCGATCCGCATCTTTCGCGTTTCGGGCATGAGACAGGGTCGAAGGTCTTAGAGTCCTGGTTGTATCCACCATTTTTGGTAGTTTCAATAGAACCAGCCCTGATGGGTTATGCTTACGGAGGGGCCCCTCATGGGGGGGATGGGTTTTTGAAAACAGGGATTTGGAATTAGCCATCATGGGTTACAATGACATTTGGCACTCAAGAACAAACGAACTTTGGCTTTGCCCAAGTCTTCATACGTCTTCCAGGAAATCAAGGGGCATGAACATGCATGCACCATTCGTAGACCCTGAACATATTTTTTGTGTGACCTCTTTGCTAAGCGGTGATCACTATGTCGGACGATGGGGTGTTCGAACTGTCAAACTGACCCCTGCAAGATTGAAAGCTCCTCTTCCAAAAAGCGAGGCTGTTGAGGGATATTCGACAAGCCAAAGGGTAACCACACATTTGTGGCTTACGTTAGGGGGCAAGCCTGGTGAACTATCTAGAACTACCCACGACATCTGAGTCACAATTCAAACCTGGAAATAGAATGGGCAACCCAGCACCAGGCTTCAACAAAAAGAGTGGCGAGGGCAGCCATGGTTTGGGACCCCTTGCTAAGCTTCATCCTACCCGGCTTCTGAGCAAGTGGCTCAAGTAGTGCTGAGAACCAAGGAATGACCCAGCGTGTTGGGAATAAGGCTTCATCTTGGGTGCTGTAGATCCCCAGCAAAAGTTAAACTCTTTGCTGGCTAAAAAGACATATGAGGGGAATCCAAAAAGTTAAAGTCTAAAGATCCAACCCAATAGAGGTAGAGTCTACTCGGGCTTTAGATGATGGCTCATCTGGTTAGAAATTGATGGGTTTAAGTGAACCTTTCCTTTCGAGAGACTGACTTGACCGTGGCTCTGCGAACCTCTGCATTGCGAGCTCCGACCCGAAGGTCCAGGGGTACTTGGGGACAGAACTCCCAAGTGACCAAGGCTAGGTCCTCCAGATTGGAGAGATGTTGGAATAAGTTGGTACCAACTCTCTCTCTCTTTTTTTTATAAGTTGGTACCCGATGTTTTTCCCATGTCTTCTTCTGTAGTCTATTTCAGTCGGGGAACCGAATCTCCCCACCAAGAAAGAGAAACGGTTCGCTGGACCCCGGGGAACAAAGAGTCTCCTGGCGCAGGATCGAAGCCCCAGTGTGCCCGGGCAAAGAAGTCTGACGGCAAACTTGTAACTGCAACTTGTAAATGGTGGTGTCCATTTCTTTACTTTGGTGGAAAAAGAAGAAACAACAACATGTTTCAAATGGTTGCAACATGGAGATCTTTTAAGGAGCCCTGTGTAAACTGGTCGCTGTTCCCAGATCCCGCTAAAGGTGATGCAACCTTTTTGTGGTTTATCGGAAGCTGTCGGGAAACAGTGGGAATGTGTATCCTTTCAACGTGCGCGCGAGGAGCTATGAACGCCCCATTCACCTGCCAAACCTTGAACAACTCCGTGTGGCAACCGGGTCAAGCCACTTCCAACTGCTTTCTGGACTTTAGGGAGTCTTCTTAGGTCTTATTTAAAAAGAGCTAGCCTTCATAAGATGTTTACCACGTACCCGCACCTCAGAACCCTATCATCTCACCCGCACTTGGCACCCGCGCTCTTGATGCGTACCCATGTTAGTCACCTACTGTCCGTACATGACGAGTTGGCACAATACAAATGATGGATTTCATGAGTCTAGCTGGTGGGAAAGCAAGGGTGGCATTGGCGGGGGGCCTGGGACCGTATGAAAAACTTCATTGTTCTGTCATCCTGAGTTCTTCGCTCGGTGCCTGTGAGGGGGTTGGTCTGCTAGTTTGACACAGGAGGCTGTGCCAAAGGTCGACTCCAGAATAACCACTTGCCTAGCTTATGGCGACTGATTCGGGCGAGCGAACAGAACAGAACACCCCAACTTATTCAACGCAGGGTCCCTTTTATGATGGGCTGATTCCAAGAAAGTCATGTCCTTGGGTGACACTTTGACAGCGGCTCTCAATCTCGGGTGGGAGGTTTTCCACGTGGTTCCTCGAAAACTGGGCTTTCAAAACTGATCCCCAAGCGAAGTGGAAACTACCACGAAACCCGAAAAAGCTAAGGATCCGGATGGCTGCGAACCTTGAAAGCTTCCATTTGCTTCTAACCGCCCCTGGAACAAATGAGGACATATTTCCAGTAGTGAATTTGATTCCCTTTAAAACCAAGCGGGGAAAAGTAACATTAATACATGTATATATATATATATACTCGGTTGCGTTCTGCTCCCCTGCTAGTAGTTTAACTTTTAGTGGTTTAATGGAAAATCCATTCGTTGGCAAAAAGTGCAAGTCGTAACATCCAAGCAAAATGCACCTCTGTATATATATATATATGTATGTACACTATATATTAATGTTCTTAACCAAATGGAAGAACAGGTACCCCTGATCCTTGAGCGCCGATCTCGCGAGCGGATCCTCAGTCTTCCCCGATCTCTTCCGCCACGTCGTCGTCCCGCGGCGGCGCCACTGGACCGTCGCCGTCCGGCAGGGGCCTCAAGCCGACATTTGATAAGCGGATCGACAAGTCCCAGGTGAAGCTAGCTTGGCGGGAATTGGGACCCCAGCAAAAAAAACACCCATTTTTTGGTTAGTGGAAAACAAAGGCCCCAAAAAGCACACAAATGCAAAGGGGAACTAATTCTGGGGAAGCTAACGTCATAGTAAAATTGCAGGGGGCCCCACCAAATTCTCCCCCCTCAGTCCAGAATGTTCAGGCGATTCAGGGGGTTACACAAGTCTTAAAGGGGAGAACTGTACAGCAAGAACAAGTCACTTAAAGCGTCAATTCAGACGGCCCATGGTTGCTTCCTCTGTCGGACAATTTAGCATAAACCCATGTAAAAAACTATCTTCGGCTAATGCCCCACTTTGGTCAACCGTTGACCCAGGAAATATGCAAATACACTCTTGAAAGTACGCATTTTTGGATTCCGTGGGGAGTACTACACACCCCCACAAGACATGAATGAATATATTATATACTGAGCCACCCTTCTTGTGGGACATATCTATAGTGAGTCCTTAATTTTATGTCCCTCCCAAATTGACCATGAACTGGATACTTTGTTCAAACCGGATTGAACCTTCGTGCAGGTTGTCGCAGTATTGCCCCAGACTTTTCCGAAAACCAAACACCGACAAGGGCCAAGTCATGCTGCCCCTGGCTCATTCAATAATCAATAGTTGCGCCAAACATAGGATTGCGCACACGTTGTGGTGCCAAAAGCAAAACCAATAAAACCTGCGGACAAGTTGGGGTGCCTGAAGCAACAATCTTCGGATTCCTTGGCCTGCCCTCGGGCATCCTGAACAAACTCCTCGGGTGTACGCAAGCAGACTAGGCTTTCAACGCTTGGGTTCCGGAGTCTACGGATCAAGGCGAGGTTCGCACAAACAGCAGCAGTATCCTCAACCCAATAGCCAAGGAACAAATGGAGTGAAGCTAGGCCAAAATAAAACCTGTAGGGGGGGGGGGGGAAAATTGGGGATTATCGATAATGTTGACATCAGATTGCTAAGCTTCGTGTCATACTGTTGATGGACGATTCCTGCACTTTGAAACCATGGGTTGCAACCATATTGTTTGCTGTTTTTGTTTCTGTGTTTTACAGGGAATCATCAGACACCAGGAAACCAGGGTTTCTGAACGGCGGTGCCTAAGAAGCGGCTTTCGCCTTTCCCATCCTAAAGGGCAGTGAGGGCTGCTCCGAGGACCCCATTGTCCAAAGGGGAACGTGTGGGGCGTCCGTTTTTTCAGATGCCCCCGCTAAAAGTTGACCACTTTTTGCGGGTGAAATGTGGGAAGTCAACCAACAGACACTAAAAAGCTAGAAAGCTAAGGGACCGGATGGCTGGGAACCACCAAGCATTGATTGCGATGTCGTTCTTAGGTTCGGAGCCCGATTTCAGTTTGCACTTCATCACTTCATCCACTCGCTGCTTGGAAAGGCTGTTCACACAAAAACACTTACCAACCAGTGCTCTGCACCATTCTCACCTGAGCAAAGCCACCAAGCGGAAAACAACAGCTGTTGTCAAAGTTCGGTCCCTTTGACCCACCAGCCCCTTGGGTGTCCTTTGCACCATGTTGACAGGAGGAAAAGCACCGCACAAAACAACAAAAGCATACCCTCCCAGCAATTAACGTGGAACCTGAGAGAGGGGTCCTGGTTCGGACCATTTTGCTTTTGAAGGGACCGGGTCCCTGTCAGGTTCCATGTTGATTAGTGGCCCGGGAGGGTAATTGGTTTCTTGGGTCTCCTTAACACTCATCCAGGGCTGTGGGAAATGGAATCCACTTCTGTGATACAACAAAAAGGGCCTCTCAAAGACTCACCCCCCATATGGCTATGAAATTTAACAGGGAACCCCCAAAATACTTGGTGGACATGAATCGGATCCACCTACTGGTGTCCACCAAAGGGTCCCTGATTAAAATTCAGACTCAGAGAAAGCGGGGATTGTTTTCATCCCAGAACCCGGATCCGCTCCAAACCACCATCTGCTTAAGCCACCTGGAAAAAAAAAACATGTAGTGGAATCAATGCCCTTCAAAGCCAACAGGTAAAATTCAGCATCCTAAGCAAATGGAAGAACTTGGGCTCCCTACCCTGGACCAAAAGGGTCGTCAACCGCATCCCCGAAGTGACACTCTCTTTCAATGACCCGTTGAATGCTGCTCTTAAGCAAATGGAAGGCACAAAAACACGCGCGCCAGGTCCGGGATAAAGAGCAAACCAAACTTTCTGTGTAACACCAAATGACACCCATCCACTCCAAAAACAAGAACGCAAAGCAAACGCCCCGCGCCCATGCGAAAAAGCGGGGGTTAACAAAAACACCGACACACAAAAAAGCCGCACGCCCCTGCAAAAAGGCGGGGGTTCGGGCTCGGGTTTTTCACGACGAGGGCGCTGGCCCACCGAGGAATAGATCTGCTCCAGCAGGGCGCGGTCCAGGTAGGGGCTGAGCACGATGTTGCGCTCGCGCATCCGCTCCACCGTCCTCTCACTCGACTCAGTTCAACCGGGTCAAAACCCTGTACCCCTGGTGAGCGTCAAAATAGGTCGCAAATGGATGTTCATCCACCCCAACATGGAGCCATAGGTTATGCCGCAAGGCCATATGGCTGCCTCGTCTTAAGGCTGGAACCCCACCCCCACGCACCCCCCGCACAAGAAAAAAGGGTGCCTCGTCTTTAGGAGTTGGACCCACCCAAAAAAGGCTTGGAGCGTGGTTCTTAGGAGTTGGACCCCCCGCCCCAAAAAAAGGGGTTGGAGCGTGTTTTTTTAGAATTTGGACCCCCCAAAAAGGGATTTCGGTTGCTATCCTTTCGGCTCCCCAGCTTCAAAGCGAAAGGGCACCTCACAGGAAAGCAATGCTGTGGACCAGCGACATTCGTTCGCTCCAAGACGTCATGGGAAAGCTGGGATTTACAGGAGAAACATCAAAAACCAGGGTTTCTTAGGTGGTGCAGACATTCGGCCATCCACAACTACCCACTGAAACATCCACGCGAGGACAATTCTCCTGGCAGTGTGTGTTTGCTGCAGCCCAAATGCCAAAGAGTGGTCAAAAAGCAAAAACAAGCAAGTTCCCAAAGAATGCCAAGGGCTGCTCACAAAAAAGGAACGTGCAGCACACAATGTGTAATTACGCGTTGGCGCATCTTCCCTTCTATGAAGTCCGTTGTAGTGACATCCTCAAATTACCCAAACAACAATCTTGAGAACACCCCGAAAATGCAACCACTGCAAGGAGCCCCGATTGGTTGTTCCAACACACATGTTGCACCCAACCCTGCAGACGCAACCAAAACCCATTGATGTTGCCCGGGGGCGTCTTGCAAAGGGGTCCAGAGAATGTAGATAGACAAGTCTGGGGCAATGCGACAACCTGCACGAAGGTTCGAACCGGTTCGAACGAAGTATCCAGTTCATGGTCAATTTGGGAGGGACATAAAATTGGGGACTCACCATAGATACTGTGGATGGACGAAATCCTGCACCACCTGAGAAACTCTGGAATGATGATTCCCCTGTAAATACCAACACACAGTGGTTTCCCATGTTTTCCAAGTGGTGCAGCATTTCGCCCATCCACTGTATGTCCCACAAGAAGGGTGGCAACTCCTCACGCTTCATCCCTAGGCTCCAAGGAGTCAGTGGCCCAATGGCCTGTGATGCGTAAGCCGCGGTGGCAAACATATGGACTCGGAACCCAACAAAACATCACCCAAAAAAATGGCTCCCTGGAAAAAGAGACGCTCATATCGGGGTTTTGGGTTCCAATGGCAAAATGGGAGTGTCCTGTCGGTTTCCCTTTAGCATCAACCAAAAACCTTTCTGGTTGCTTTTTGTTGGGTTTCCCTTTTGTTACAAAGCCCCAAGAAAGCGAATCCAGAAAACACACAGAGACCAGCATTTCATCACTCCCCTCCTGTAGGCTGACTCGTAGTTTCCGCACTCGCTGAAGTGCTCCACCAGATTGGCGAAGATGTCACCCGTGCGGACTGCGGTGTCGATGTCCGGCATGGCCACCATCCTATGACACAAACTTCGTTTCTGTTCCCCTTCTAGGTCCCCCAGTAGAGGCTGGAATAATGGTACCAACTTTGTTCTGTAGTTTATTTTAGTAGGGGAACCCCCCCCAACAAAAAAAAATGGTAAAAGAGGCACTACTGCGGGACCTAGCCTTGGGGTACGTGACAAAGGGGGACCCTCAAAATTAGCAGTCCCTCTTTTTGTTCCCTTCAAACCAAGATGAAAGGGGTACTCCGACCCCCCCCCCCCCCCGCGGAAAAAAACAAAAAAAAAAAACTATAAAATACAACTGGCTGCTTCGGGAGTACACTTCTTTCCCCTGGTGTGATTGGTGTTTGGCGTTGGGCTGGCTTGATCCAGTGGAAAAAACTGCCTGCGGACTGTTTTGGGAGCTTTGAACTGTACTTTTCATGTTCAATTGCTTTGGTATTTTGGCTTTCTCTAGTCTTTTGTGGTTCTAGACATTTGCGATCTTTGCATCAGTTTCCTATGTATCTATTAGATTATGAGAACGCAAAGGCTCAGCAAGAGTTTTGAATAACATCTATCCCCCGTTCTGAACCAAACACATCCCTCGCTACCTCAGCTACACCACCAAACCTCACATGCTAGGTCAATACTTGTTTACACCTAAAAACTGGGGTCTCAGTTCAAAGCTCATGTTATCCAAAACCAATCATCTTGCTGGTGCTCAGCAGGGAACGGGGGGAAATGACCCTTATAAACCATCCCTTGTGGTTTCCTTTAAAGGAATCCCTACTCATTCCCTACTGAGCACCAGCAGGGAAATGCACCATTTCGCCCAAATCCCGTCTCCTTTCGCAAAGCGCCACCATCTCGTCCGGCTCACTCTTGGCGAGCTGCCTGAATCCAAAGACTTAATCTCGGTTGCTTTCTGCTCCCCTTCTAAAAGTTTAGCTTCTAGTGGTTTAATGGAAAACCCATTAGTTGCCAAAAAGTTAAAGTCCTAACATCCAAGCAAATGCACCAAAGCAATGGATGCTCCGAAACGGGCGTATGTGGTTGTTGCTTCGTCTAGGTTCCCTCACTTCCCATCGAGTTCAAGCCTTTTCTTTACCTTCAAAAGGGTCCAAACCCAAAAGTAACTAAAGTCCGAAACGGCACTCGGGAAGTGAGTTCCCTCATTTTCAGGTTGGTTTAGCGGAAACCAATGGATGACTCAACTCGCCGCGTTTCAGATCTGCTCGCGAAAATGCGGAGAACCTCCTCCCACACAGAGAACATGGCGATTGAAGTACTTCCACACCCCAGGAAAAAGGGTTTGCGAGACATTGTCCTTTCAAAGGGACCTCCAAAAGTGGCGATTGTTTCAAGGGACACCAGCAAATTGATCAACTCTTGATTTGGCGCAATCCAGTGACCCCCCGAAAAAATGGCAGCGCTCGCTTTTTGCGTTTTTTGTTTTTCGCGCCGTGGCGCGTCGAGAACAAAAAAAAACTCGCGCGCCTGACGTTGGCGAACTGCTCCACCAGGGCGATGCGGCTCGTGAGCGACACCACGCGCTCGTCGCCCTCCCCTCCGGCCTTGGTCATGTACTTCAAGGCCTGGCGCGAAGAAACAAACGTCTTTTGACTTTCAGCACCAAACAAAACTCGGATGCAACCTGGCAAAAAAAGCCATGGGAAAACCATGGGTGTCTAACTGTCTCTCGACCAGGGTTTGTGGACGCAGTTGAGAACCTTCCTGGGACCTTCCACAAAACCCGGACGAAAAACGCCACCTGGGAAAAAAAAAAAAACACGGGGAAAGAAAACCGTGGGGTCATGGGGAGCCAAGAACCCTTTGATTTCAGCTCCGCTGCCCAAATCCCTCTGTTGCTATCGTCTGCCCAAATGACTAGAAGTCAGTGAGCACACCTACACCAAATGTCTAAAAGAGTAGTTGGTCCACGGCACATAGACTGCCGTGGGGTTTTCAGCTGAGTGGGTGGTTGGGGGGGGGGGATGGGGGTGTTGGGGGGGATTGGTGGGGGGGATTGGTGGGAAGGGGGGATGGGGGGGGGGTTTGTTCAACTAGCCTTGTATAAGTCTTGGCTGACTCCTGGGAACCCAACGACCCAAAGGGCACAGACATGTTGGCAACAAACTTTCTGAGTGGACCGGCAGTGTTTGCGTGCGAACATGGTCTTCCCACAAAGCTTAAAGTCCCGGCACTCAGGGCGTGAACAAACAATGGTTTCAACCATGGTTTCCAAGTGGTGCAGGATTTCGTTCATCCACAGTGTTTATCAAGGCAACACTTGGGAACCTTCCAAGCAAGCAAGCCACAAACCCTAGTGTTTCTTGCATGGGACGCCGTAAGTGCATGCGGGTGGCCAAGGGAACAACAACTACCAAAACGTGCTATCAAAGTAAGTGTCGCGAATTTTCACAGGTAAGGCTAATTTGCCCAATATGTCAAAGTAGGAAGCAAGGCAGACCCTGTCATTTGCAAGGGTGTCCAGTGATGTTTCACCGGCAAACGGGAAATCCACCGTACCCCAGTCTATGCCTCTTGTGAGAGCCAAACGAGATACCATCCACTGAAACTGTCCTGGGCTCATTATGTCCAATTGCAGCATCGTCAGACACCGATTTGAATCTAACATACAGTGGATGGACGAAATCCTGCACCATGTGGAAACCATGGGAAAAAACGTGGTTTAATGGAATTTACAGGGGGAATCATCAAAAACCAGGATTTCTTAGGTGGCGCGAAATGGACTTCGTCCATCCACAGTACCTTTTTCATTTGATGAATCAGCAGTCGAAGAAGCCGCCTCCGGCAACATTCCGGGCGAATCCTTCGGATTTCATGAAGCAGTTCCTTTCAAAAAGGGACCATTTGTTTGCACTTGTCGTCAAAGAGGGAAGCCCCAAAACGGGGGGTTTCCTTTTGTCGTCCTTTACATGCCAAAAAAGGTACACTTCTAGGGGTTGATTCCCCATTCTTTTCAACCATCATCTTTTCAAATCCCTGGGTTTCCAAAGGGTTTCTAGAAAGAAGGATACTCCTGGAACGCTCGCAGAAAGCACCGCGCTCTTTTGAAGCCTTGAACCCGCGCTCCGAACTTCAGAGCTAAGACTCCGCAGCGCATGGGTCATCCCTTCACAAAACCGGAGAAACAGGGATCCTTACATTATACACCTGAACATTGCAACTTGTACATGGTGGTTTCCATTTCTTTATTTTGGTGGAAAAAACAACATGTTTCAAATTTGCAAAGTGGATATCTTTTAAGGAGCCCTGAGAAAGTGCGAGGGATTCAGACCATTTGCCTCAAGGGCCTGGGAAGTCCTGAATGTGTTGCCCCTGCTGCGGTTTAAGCATGGGAACCCTCAGTGGACACATGAATTTGTGCTTGCTGAATTGCGGGTGTGCCCCGCCAGTATTTCTCAAGTGGACCCCCCCCCTTCTTGATCCATCAGCTTAATCAGTGCGGGCTCAACATTGGTGGGATTGGTTCTGCCATTTTCCGAAGGTCTTCGTTTTCTTCAAAGCAAAAACCACCAGGATGTACCTGCTGACACCCTTGCAGCCAAAATGGGCGAGCGGACCCACTTTGAAAGTGCAGAACCCCGTTTCAGGTCTCCGACTGCTTCTCCCGCCAGGGGCCAAAAGCTAAGGCCTTGCCGCATCAAAACCATCTTCTGTAATTCAGGGTGATACTCACCAAAATCACCACTAGATGTCACCTGAGGCGACTTGCGGCTGATGTTTTGGACATGAGCGGGTTTTGGGGGTACCAGCAGGGTTCATTGGATTTCCCCTTAGCAACTTCTGGCTTCCACAAAAGCTGCCACTTTCGGAGGTAAGAAGGAAAATGGCTCGGAAAAGTCTGAGAACCCTAAGCCCACCTTCCTCCAGATTTGAGAGGTTAGAATAAGAGTACCCGATTTTTTTTGCCGTAGTCTACTTTCGTAGTGGAACCCTCCCAACCAAAAAAGTAACGGTAAAAGGGTACTATTGGGGCACCTCGCCACCCGAACTTCACGCCTGCAAAATTTCCCCACGCTGGCACTCGGTTGCTTTCTGCTCCCCTGCTAAACGTGACTAACTGTTAGTAGTTTTATTGGAAAACCCATTTGGCAAAAAGGCAACAAGTCCTATAACATCCCTTGGCAAAATGCACCAAACTGGGTGAATTATAAAATTTCACCAACCTGAAATAAGGTGGTTGGGAGGCTATTCCCCACATAAACCACCATTTGGGGTGAGATCGTGTGAGGTTGTTATAATTCACCCAGACCAAAGCTTCCCCAAACCACGTCTCTGCCTCTGAGATGTAGGCCCCACTGCCCCCGACGGGCCTCTTTCAGGGCGCCGGCCGCCTTGTCGTAGTCCCTGTACTCGTCGATCTCCACCTGCGCCACGGGACGTCGACGTCCTTTGTGCCAAGCCCTCCCTAGCGATTAAGAATTTAGGGTTTAGGGCATATGCTTTTTCCGGTTTTGATTCACTCACTCAGGCAGCCTTTTTCGAAATTCCCCCGCCCCCACATTCTTCCAGTTTTGACACTCACTCAACCAGCTTTCCTCCAGATTCGTATGTCAAAGAAGGGCTTTGGACCTGAACGAAGGACGTACTCCTGGCTTCCCTTTAAACTAAATCTGAAAGGGCACAAAACAAAGTACCCCAACGGGACTGCGAACCTGAAGCGAAGCTGGATTTTGAAGCTGTGGTCGGACATCGGGGATCCACCAGTGACGTTCCTAACCAATCTGACTGCTGGAACGTGCAAGCGTACACTTCTTTGTTTTTCTTTTCTGTGGTCTATTTTAGCAGGGGAACCCCTCCCCAAAAAAGGCTAAAAGGGCGCTACTGGGGGACCTAGCAACCAATCTGCCAGGGAACGTACTGCTGGCACCTACTCAAAACCAACTGTTTGCGTCTTAAAATAGGCACACGCAACCAACTGCTCAACTTGCCCGAACTGTACTTGGTGGAACTGTCATGTCTGAACAGTCGGACGCAGTTCAGTCGAAGACCCAGTCAATCTGAGCCAGGCGTACCTCAACATGGCCGACAAATTTCAAAAGCTACACTTGAGGAGAGGTACATGGCACAACCTCCCATTTAGGTTCTCTTAACCTCTTTTTCTCAAGGTCATAAAGGGAATAATGCCATCTATGTTCACCCTGATGATTGTTCTCAAAGCAGCGTATAGCTTTAGTCCGGGCAGATTTACATGCACAAAACACTCATTTGGCGAGGACACTCCTCTGAGGGGACCCGTGTTTGGGTCCCCTTGAGCGGGACACACCCCAATCGAAATCATTCAGGGCTTGATTCATCCTAACATTCTCACTAGCTTATACTCGCTTCCTAAGCGGACTGGCCAAGAAAAGTTCTAACATTTCATCTACCACTAAATTAGTTCAAACCCAAAATGTGACTAAAGTCCATGAACTCGGGGAGTGCGTAAAACAAATAAACCCACCCTGAGAAAACCCCCAAGTTCGCTCCCGCTCGCTCGCTCGGCTGACAAATCACTCAACACTCTAGGGGTAACTTCCCCATTCTTTCCAGGGATGGGAATCTTTCTTGAAAACCACCAAATCCCCAAAGAAAACAGCTGGTTCTTGAAAAGAACGATGGCTGAAAAGAATGGAAAAGGAATCACCCGATAGCTGGTTACCGGAGACCGTTGTTTCCGGTGGGATTCAGGGACCCCCCTCCGAAAGCTTGACCCCAGGCCTCCGAATCAAGCCCTAGACTCACTCTCGATTCCGCTGCCTGTGCGCAGGCATCATAAAAGGCCCCCAGCTTGTCATAGGCCTTGGCCTTGCTGTAGAACCTCCGCGCCACTTTCGGACCGACCGAACCTTTCGGAGAGGGAGGCTTTTTTATTGCCGGACGTGGGTGGCAAAAAAACTGGGGACCCCCAAAAAATTGCGGTTTCTTTTTTGGGCTTTCTTGGAGAAACACCGAAACTTTCGGAGACCGGGAGTTTTTTTTGCCGGAGATGGCTCTGGTTGTCAAAACCGTTTTGGGATCCCATTTTGGTTCACCACCCATTTTAGAACCGTTTTTTTTCCCCCCGTGGGGATTGGGATGTTCACTGGGGGTACGGGGCTTTTGACCCATGGCCATATGGGTGTTAAAAACTGGGGACCCACAAAATGGTGGTTTCCCTTCTGGGTATTCTTGGAGAAGGTTGGACGGCTGGCCCCGCATGTGTCTTTTTTGGAGTTGGACAGCAGGGCTCTGTTTGTTCCCATCTTGGTATAGTCTGAGAAATGGACAACAGCCATGAGGTGACTAGAGACGAGATACGCCCAACAAGTCACCCACAAGGGAAGCATTGGGAACAATGAAGCGGCCAAGTGACAAACGAGATAGGCACCAACTGAGAGAATCGGGAAATGACACATGCGGACATGGGCAATTTCAGTTGACCGGTGAGTCATGCGCAAAGAAACCACCATCCCAGTTGACCCTAAATTTGAGTACCACTATTTTGCCATCCCCCCTACCTCAAGCGGGAGTGGGTGGAGGGTCCCCGAATTCCATTTATCCAGTCCCATAAAAGGCAAAATAGAACCATAAATGGAATTCTAGGGGTCACCCGCCCCCCAATTCCATTTATATAAAGGGGGTGGGGATATTTTGCCCTCAAGACGAACTTCAGTTCAGACCCTCACTTTGCGGGGAAAATCATAAAGGGCCTCTCACTTTCCGACGTTGATCAACCCCAGCCTGACCTGAACAGTTCAGCTTGATTGGACGCCAAAGAACCCCGACCAACCGTTCAATTCAAACAGACGACCCAGGGCCGCATTTCCCTAACCCCGTCAAAACCATGGGTCTTACCGTTCCAACCATACTTAATCTCTGAGGGATTCTGTTGACTCACAGAAATCGGGATACCTGCAGGACCTGCACAAGGCAATCCCAGGTTCGGAAATCCTCTGAGCCATGCTGCGGGATGTTTTTGCTTTTTGAAGATAGGGGAACCCTGTTTTGGACCGGTTTTACAGGTAACCAAAAGGACACCAACCATCTGGATGGCTGGTGTCCTATTTTGAGAAACACGGAAATAACCTTCTGTGAAGCTGGGTCCACCTTAAGTGACATCCTCACAACCCTTGAAACAGTGATGGCAATCCCCTGGGTCCCAAGAATTAGTTGGTTTTGAGCGTTATCAAACCAAAGTGAGGAACAGCCAGCCAGGGTTGTTGATCCCTCTGCAAAACCTTTTCACTGTTTCTTGCTTCTAAACTTTGCTCTTGTTTTTACGTTGCTCTTGTTCTTACTTTTAAGTTTGACCCTCTCCAAAAAAGTTGAAAGCCTGAAGAGCCGATACCAAATACCCAATCAACCACACCTTCCCTTTTCCCCGGTGTTGAAACCTCGCTTCTTTTTCTCGGCGAGGGACACCGAGTCGCGGTTCCGGTTCGGAAAAGCCCGCTACCAAATCGCCATGGAGCTCTCACGCCTCCTTTTCGTGGGTGTTGAAACCTTTTTTTTTTTTTCCGGCTCGAGGGGACATCGATCCAGTCGGAAAAGGTTCCGGTTCGGAAAAGCGAAAGCCGGGTGCCGCCAGAGCGGCTGGATGATGTTCTTCATGATCTCCGGGTCGTTGTGCCAGTCCAAGCTCTGCAGGTAGTTCCCCGCCAGCACGTAGATGTCCGGCTGCCGGGCCGTGCCCGCGAAGAAGATGATCTTCTCCTATGGAACTGGAAGAAAACGTGTTCATGGGGGAAGGAGGGGAGGGAGGGGGGGGGGAGGGAGCCCCAATAAGCCTCAAACAAGGCCTTATTAGGCGATGATTTGGTCGCTGTTGCCCAGATTCTGGGCAGCGTAACCTGGGTCCTCCAGTAGAGAGCTTAGAAGAAGGCTACCCATTTTTTGTTTTTTCCGGTAGTCTGTTTTAGTAGGGGAACCCTCCCCCAAAACAGGGTGAGAAAGGGTACCTAGCTGGGGGACCTAGATATGTGCGTAGGGTTCCGTGTAGTGTCTCGCCTCTATGAAATGTTCATTAACACAACACCAAGCACAGCCATGGCAATGGTGTGCCCCTTGACGGTCCTTAACGGCCTTTCACCTTCGCTATCCTTCGCTCATAGTCATAACCAACGATAGGTTGCTCTCCCCTTGCTATGGGTCTAGATCAATGCGCGCCGTATGTTCCCCTTAAACTTAGCATGCCGACCTGCATGTGGTATGTATATATGTATGTATGTATGTATGTATGTATGTATGTATGCATGTATGTATGTATGAATGTATGCATGTATGTGTGTGTGTGTGTGTATGTAGGTAGGTAGGTAGGTAGGTAGGTAGGTAGGTCCGTACATACGTATGGATGGATGGATTGATTGATGTGTGTGTGTTCCATCTATCTATCTATCTATCTATCTATCTATCTATCTATCTATCTATATATCTATCTATTTATCTATCTATGCATGTGTGGATGTGAATGTGTGTATAGGTGTGTAGGTGTAAATGTGTGTGTACGGTGTATGTGTGTGGGTGCGTTATGTGTGCATGTGTGTATGTTTGCATGCGTGCATGTGCGTATGTTTGTATGCATGTATGTGTCTATGTGTGTACAACGCCTGGCTTCGATTGCGGATTTCCTTTGAAAAGGAATCATTTAAGTATGGTTTGCAGCCACTGCTAGGTCCTCCAGTAGAGAGGTTAGAATAAGCGTACCATTTTTTCTGTAGTCTATGTTTGTAGGGGAACCCTGCCAACCAAAAAAGGGCACTACTGGGGGGCCTAGACTGAATTAAGCACGAACTAGCCATTCCTTTGTTTGTTTTTTTTGTTTTTTTTAAACGAACTCCTGCTAGTTCTAATCTTCCCAGCCCAAGGTATGCGAGCCAACAACTTTGTACTTTTGTTGATTAAGGGCCCCCCCGATTTCAAAACCAACACAACCCAACGAAAAGCACAAGAAGACATGACATGACATGACATATGCGGCTGCGTGTTTGAGGAAACCCTTTTTTAAAGAGGTGTTTCTTTTGGCGGAAACCACAGTGAACAAACACATAACGGAGAGAAACGCCTATATGTGTGTCATTTTCTAGGGCCCCCCACAAAAGATGGATTTCTGTCGGTTGTCCTTCAAAACCCGCAAAAACAAACAAACAGGGGGGTACCCATGGTGGTTTCCCTTTATTGTGGTGGCAAAAGCCATGTTTCAAATGGGCAAAATGTATCTTTTAAGGAGCCCTGCACAATTGTCTGGGTTTGTTGGTGGCGAGCGGCTGTGTCCCCGCTGTTCAGCAGGCTCTTCATGGCTTTCAGCTTGTCCCCGGCCTCGGCGGCTCACGGCCGCTTGAGCGGCAAGCAAAAAATCCAGCCGTCGCACGGGGTCCCAGGTCCAAGTACCTCCTGAGGATGGCTTTTGGGGTACCAAGGGGTCTAAGTACTTCCGGGGGTGGCTCCTCTGGCATTCAACAAGCTTTCCAAGAGGTCAGGAGGCAGAGCTTGCAAGCGTGCTTACCGCAACATGCTTACCTAAAAGCCGCTGGTGCAACCACTTGAGTCATAATCAAAACCCGGTATTATAATGGTCTACCCAGAACCATGTAAGAATTAAGAAGGCGGCTGCAGCTATTTACGGTTGGGATTGTCCCTTACTAACCTTCATCTACCCGGGTTTTGGTTGTGGCTCACTTATGTCGGGAAAGGGTTTGCTTGCGCTCTCCTTCCCCTTGCTTGGCGTGTGAAGGCGACTTTCTGACAGTTGCTCACTTGCAACAAGATGCTACTCCCCGATTTTGTCTTCCCCAAGAATGACTAGGTCCTCCAGTAGTTTGAGGTTAGAAAAAGGGTACCAACTTTTTTCTGTGGTCTGTTTTAGTAGGGGCACCCTCCCCCAAAAAAGGGGGAGAAGGGCTACTGGGGGACCTAGACAAGATGTTCATCCCCGATTTGGTCTTTTGCAAGGATGATGGAAGCGGACGAGGGGCCCTTTTCAACAGATGGTCATCTTCCAAAACCACAAGCCAACGAAAACAACGGCCACAAAGCACGGGGATGTGCCAAGCACCTGCACTGGCTATGCAATTAGGGAACCCTGCTTGGCTACTGTTCCAAGGAAAGCCGCTAACTACAGGAACACCACCCATGGTTCATGTGGAGCCGAAACCATTTTCGAGCTAGTTTCTTCATAGAACAGCGCCACGGAGCGTTCCCTGGCTAGTCCCGCTTCCTTTCTAGCTAATCCCTTCAGGAATCAGCCGCTCTTTTGGGCTTTGCCTCTCGCCAGAGAGACAAAACTTGTCTAGAATAAGGGTACCAACTTTTTGCTGTGGTCTGTTTTAGTAGGGGACCCCTCCCAAAAAAAAGGAGAGAAGGGCACTGGGGGACCTAGTCGTGCTTCCCCAAATTCGACCATCGACGCGTCGATCCCCAACAACCCGCCTGCGTGAACTTCTTGCACGCCAGCTGGAAGGAGCCCTGCTTCTTGCAGAGCTTCGCAATCTCCTATACCAAAAACGCCGGATCTGGGTGTGGCTCAAACATCGCCAAGCCTGACGGGCTGGTTCCCTATAAATTCATAGCCACATGGTACACAAACAAGTCCAACGAACTTCTCATGGCTGTGGGTGAAACAAATGTTCAAAACAGTGACAATGCCGGATCTGGGTGTGGCTCAAGAATATAAATCGGTCCAAAATGGAACCGCCCTGGTAAATGGAAAGGTAGACCAAAACCAGTGGTTGGCCCCAGCTGTTCAATTTTGACCCACAGCGATATCTAAACACACTGCTTGATAGGCGCCTAAATAACTACACACATTATTACCCCACAAATGATACCCCCCCCATCGGACAGCCGAACTTACATTCTCCCCGAAGCCGACCTCCGGTTTCCGCCTTTCCGCCCCCTTCCCAGGCAGTCCAAGCTCCTGTGACTCAAGTCCGACCATGGCAACCACCATGGTTGAAACCTTGACGTTTGTGGGCTTTTGTGTGGGAATCGAATCAGAGACCAGGGTTTCTGAATGGTGGTGCGAAATGGATTTGGTCCATCCATACCAATCACCAAGCAGGTCTTTTGAGTCATGGGTCACGGCAATTCGCCGAACAGCTTCTGCACTTGATTGCGCTCACTGGAAAGGCCATCCTGACCTCAAAGCCTTGCTGCGAGGGGTCTCCAATGATCTGAAGGTTAACTGAGCCTAAGGGTTGAAAGCTAACGCTGGGTCCTCCAGTAGAGAGGTTAGAATAAGGGTACCAACTTTTTTCTGTAGTCTCTTTTAGTAGGGGAGCCCTCCCCCGCAAAAAAGGGGTGAGAAAGGGCACCAATTGCTGGGGGGCCTAGAACAGGTTCCCAGGTCTCTTCGAGCTTCCCCTCCTGCAGAATCTCGGACCTCAACTGCGGCTCCATACCTGAGCAAATCTGAGCAACGCCCGAAGCCCCGAAGCCAAAGAAGCCAAAGAAGAGCTTACTTGCCTGTGGTGGTCAAAACCGTTAAACGGGATCCCATTTCCGTTTTGGGATCAAATCATTTTGGTTGGTAGGTGAACTCACCACCCACTGTAGAACCTATTTTCCGTGGGGATTGGGATGTTTACTGGGGGTACGGGATTTGGACCCATGGCCACTTGGGCCCAAGGAAAGGGAAGAAGAGGGAAGTAACGAATTGTGGGTGGTCCTTTTGATCATCTCTTTCCTTGGCAACGAACTTGTTCAGACTACCGAATGTTAGACAAGTGCTCTGTAAAAAATCGAAGGCCGAATTGCCGGAAGCATGAAAGCCATAGTCAAGATATACATACAAGTTACCTGTAAGGAGGATGTTGTGAGTCTGCTCAAGAGAGCTCCAAGCAACCTTTTTATGGTGTTCAAGTTTGGATTCTACATCTCCGAGGGGATAAACACCTACCCACTGTTTACGAGTTTGTTTCTTGTGTTTACGTGTGCTCTTTGGTGTCCATGTTCATGGGTGGTTCTCTGTCGGAATGGGGGCCCCCAAAAGCATGATTCGGCCTCAAACCCACACGGCGCGAAGTGAGCGAGGCGCTGTTCTTCTCCGGAGTCATGCGCTCCGCCATATCCTGCCAGCCAACCGGAAACCGGCCAATTTCCGGGCAGCATGCCATCAGCGCCAAAAAAACAACACATAGCTGAGCGAAAGGACAGTGGGCTGAAAAGAAAGGAAGCTGCCATCAACCAATCAACTCATAGCAATCAACCCAGCGCTGTTTGAAAAGAAACGAAACCGCAATCAACTCATACATAATTAGCAAGAAGCTGCCCATGAAAACCAAAGAACTCTCAACCAATCCAATGCTTCACCCTTGCGGTTTGATATGATCATGCTTTCGAGGCCCAGAGCAATCCCCCCGCATGTGTGGTTCGAAACCCAACATGGCACGCCTAGAACCTCCAGGAAGGCAAATGGAACAGCTAAAGAGGCCCATGGGATCTTGGCCGCTGCTCAGTAGGTGTCTTTCCTTGGGGGTACCTTTTTGGGGTTCCTTGAAAGGCAACCAAAGGTGGTGGACTCAGGCGGTGCGAAAAATCCACAAGTGCCAAATCCTCGCTTGCATGGGGCACCATGCCAAAAAAGTCGGCAAGACTTTGCCGCTGAAACGCAAATTCCGCTCCTTGGTTGCTGGCGAGATCCCTCTGCAACAAAAAGTGTTCAACTGTTTGTGGGTCCAATTCGGAAAATCCCACCTCTTTCAACCAAAAAGTTAACGTCCAAAGATCCAGCCAAATATCCACAAAGCCTCAAAGGGTAATAGGGGTGAGAGCAGTGTGTGTGTGTGTGTGTTGCTTCTTTCCCCACTACACCCGATGGAAAATGGGGGGTAACCAATATATACCCACTGTACAATATTGCAGGATGGTTCATACCATATTTCCACCCCCACGGGCTCAATGCGATATATACAACCTCTAGCTAGCCACTATACAAGGGGTATCTGTCCAATGATTCTTTCCAATCGGTACAGCTGTCCGGCAAAACAAATGTTCACAGGTCTTCCTTGGGGCTTTGTCTTGGGTTTGTTCTCACCGTTCCCAACATGTCCTCGGTGATATGCACGTCATGTTCTGAACAGAGCTGCACAGCGCGGTCGAACTGCTTGGAGATGGACAGCAAATGCACCGCCTCACAGCCCCCTTTTTCGCCGGAATGCGCATGAAGTCCCAACATGCAAGTAAAATTCAGCCTCGGCCACCACGGGAAAATCTTGGGTTCATTAAGATCCTGAACGGCAAATAGTGGTTTAAACAAACATCAAAAACCAGTTTCCCCAGAATCCAAAATCCAAGCCGGCAGTTCCTCTGACCATAACAAAAGGGGACCTCAATTTTGAAAAAAACACCTGTGATGTGAAACAGCCAGTCTCAGGAACAACAACTAAGTGCAACTTCTAAAACACCTTGGCCACAACTAACAACAAATGATAAACCAATTGCTTGAACAACATTCCCACGCTGTTCTAACAAAGAATGACCCCCCTTGCAATCTTCGAACAGTGTTTTAGTAAGACCTCCGCTGTTGTTTTCATTTTTGTTCCCTTTGTTTCTGAGCTTTCAACTTCGGACTTGGACAACCGAAAGGCCGAATCTATGCACTCTGACAGCTGGGTAGTTGGGAAGGGTTACTAGTTATTTTAGTACTGTACTTTGAAGGGGCACGCAATATACCTCAAAAAGGGTGGCATACAGCCCCAACAAATCAAGCAAACAGAAAGGTTTCTGCAACACTTGGCTGTGGCTCAAAAAACCGGTACCAAAATGGAACCCTGGTAAGTGGAAACATGGACCAAAACCCGCGGTTTGCCCCCCCTGTTTAATTTTGAGCCACAGCCACTTGGCTATTTGTGGGATTAACCCCTGTGCAAAAAAAGTGAAGAAACAGGGGTCAGCTGTCTCCTTCCAGCCGTCCCATGACTTCCCTTGCTTTAAGCCAGCAAAGCCGCGACCAACACGAGTTGACTTGGTTCTAACCTGGGCTGTCCGCTTTCAGATCCCTTGCTACAAGTGAATAACCGTTGTTAATGGGTTGAATGGAAACCCAACCACTAGACCAGCTAAAACGACTCGGATATTTCTTGCCAGACGGGTAATTTATCGTAAGAAATGGAATCGCGCGATTCGAGCAGCATATAAGATCTTCATGAGCACACCAGCATGAGATGCTTAGGTTCCTTGGCCGTGTTAGGAACCACACGGCGGGGAAGAGCTGTCCGACTCGGGAGTCGCTTTGCAAATCTCATCGCTCCCTTGACCCAAAAAGGGCCTGGCGCGTCACGGGCTATGGTGCTCCCTTCGGAGTTGATGGGCCAAACAACGTCGCAAACGTCTGCTTTTTCTTTGGCACCAAAATGGCCATCAAACTCAACAAGTGACTAAAAAGTCCGGCAACTCACGGAGTGACTTTGCGGCATAGGCAGATAAACTTGTCCAGTATTGATAGACTCCCCTTAAAACCAACAGGGGAAAATCATGAGCAACTGGAACATTTTCCTGTTGATACTTAGTGGATAAACCTAAAACCCACAACATCTTGACGGGAATCTCGTTCAGCCGCCGCCTTTTTGGGCCCCATGCCGAGTTTTGCAAAGTTTATGGGTTGTGGGATTGAGCAGCCCAGGTGGCATCCTCAACAGCCCTGGACCCCGGAACCCAACCCCTGAAAGTTGCTGCCCCAAACCACCCCAGAGCCGACTTGGGCGCTCTGCGCCCCAAAGCTCCCGACTGGGGAAAACGGGCTTTCCAGTAGCTTGGTTAAAGTCTAGGTCCTCCAGTAGTTTGAGGTTAGACTAAGTTTGTACCCGATCTTTCTTCTGTAGTCTATTTTAGTAGGGGAACCCTCCCCCTAAAAAAATGGTAAAAGGACACTGCTGGGTAACCTAGAAGTTAGACTGCCCATTGCCTTGTCGTGCTGCTCGTGCTGCATGAAGAATTCCTGCAGCAATTGCACGACATCCAAACAGGCTCTAGATTGTCGGCCCAAAAGGAGGGCACACGAAGGAAAAGGCTTGGTTGCTGTTGACCCCTCTGCAAAAAGAGTTTGCAACTTCTGGGTCCTATTCGGAAAAGTCCACCAGTTTCAACCAAAAGTGTTCAAGTCCAAAGATCCGTTACCAAATAAAGGAACCAGCTAAAGGAGGGGGGGCGCCCCTGCGTTTTGTTGACCTGACAAGGGCACTGGTCCCGCAGCACTTTCCACCGTGACCCCATAGGTCTGGGGCTGCCCTTTCAAACCGTGGAAATGATGACCCCAGCCACAAACCAAGATTTTATAACCCCCCCCGCCCCACTTATCGATCAGGCCTCCCGCTGGAAGAAAGGATTCCCCAACCACGTTGGTCAGGGACCCACCCCTTCAATCAGAAGTGGGGGGGTTTACCAAAGTCCTGGCTCAACCTTAGCGCTCCCCCCCTTTTTTCAAGGCAAATTCCAAGCTCCAAGTTGGGCCTACGGGCTTACCAACCCGGGGTATTTCCCCCCCCTTGTCTCACGCAAAAAACTCCAACGTCCAAGTCGGGCTGAGACATGACTCCGCCAGCTTGGTTGACGTTGGAAGGGGAGCAAAACAAATCAAATTTAGCAGTTAAGTGGTTGGATTTCAACCACTAAACTACACTAAGCGAAAATGCAAAATGCAAATCCCAACAACAACCATGTCAATGTTAAGTCCCCTGGACAAACTAGAAATATTGCCAGTAGTGACACATCTCCTGTTAAAACCCACAGGATAACATCAAACACTTCCTTTTCATCTCCGCTCCTGGAACGAAACCGTTTCCCAACAACAAAAATGGCTAGCCCAAAACCGGTTTGCCTCAAATGGCCACACCCGGACAGTGTTTGCCTTTGGGTTCCGATGCTTCGGCCAGGGCGCGGCGCACTTGGCGAGGATCTCCGGGTCGCTCTCGGCGCTCAGCTCGTCGCTGATCTTCCGCAGGGCGTCGAACAGGCGCGCAGAGAAGCAGAGCTCCAGCGCACGCTTCTGCTGCCCCGACTTCTGGTAGAGGATCACCTGAGACCCGCAGGAATCATGGGGGCTGGGAGGGCGGGGAGGGGAGGGAGCCCAAATAAGCCCTGAGACCCGAAATGGGGGCTGGGAGGGGAGGGGAGGGAGCCCAACTAAGCCCTTATCGAGCCGTTAATAAGGCCTGATTTAATTTTCGGCTTCTGCCAGACATGGGGAAACAAAAAAAAACACCAGTTGAATGCCGGACGTCGCCGGAACTGGGCTGTCCGATTTCAGATCCCCCGCTAAGAGTGGCTAACTTTGAGTGGGTTAAATGGACACCCCCGGCTAAACAGCCAAGGAACCGGATGGCTGGGAGCCAACAAGAGAAAACAATGGCGGTGTCTGCCAGACATGGGAAAAAAAGACCAGTTGAATGCCGGACATTGCCGGAAGAATAGACCAGCCAAAAAAGAAGAACCCTGGGTTGCTATCCTCAGATCCCCCGCTAAAGTTTAACTTTTAGTGGGCAAGATTGACATCCCCACTAAACACTAAATACGCTAAAAGGCTTGAGGGGATGGCTGGGAGCCACCAAGATTATGTTACCATGATCAAAGTCACCCCCTAAGTGGTGGGTGAAAGAGAAACAACCCCATTTTCTGACTTTAATAACCCCCAGAAACCGTCAACATAACGATACCAAAGAAAACATGGCGGTTTCTGCCAGACTGTTTTGAAAAAAAATATATCCAACAAATCTATTGAAGATGTACTTAGGAAAAGAGAAGATGGGAAAACAAAACACCAGTTTGTGCTCCCCTGCTAAAACAAATCAACTTTTAGTGGTTTAATTCGGAAAACCCGTTAGTCCTAACATCCAAGCACAATGCACCAAAGAAACAATGGCGGTGTCTGCCAGACATGGGAGAAAAAGAAACACCAGTTGTTGCCGGACATTGCCGGAAGAATCGTGAAGGATTTTCATCATCCACATTGTGAAGGTTTCAGCCAAACATGGAACAAAAAAACCACGAAAAAACACATCAATGGTTTGCCGGACGAATAGACCGGTCATCTTGTCAGTCTTTGTTCTCTTTGATCAGCTCGCAACTTCGGGCCTTCGGGCCTTGTCAGTACCCCCGGAGGATCTTTGAGGGTCCACGCCCCCGATTTCCCACGTCCGGAGTGGGACTTTGAGGGACCATCTTGAAATTGCCGAAGCACTTGGTCGCGGCTCTCTGGCGATGATTTGGTCACTGTTTCCCCAGATTTTCTGGGCACTGTGACTCACTTTCAGGGGCTGTTCCAATCCCTCCTTCAAAGCTTCAAAGTCTGAGCGGCTAAGGAAGCGGATGGCTGGGAGACACCAAGTGACTATGAGGGAGCATCCAAAAACCTCCATTTGCTCAAGTCCCCTGGACAAAATAGAAATATTGCCAGTAGTGACACATCCCCTTTAAAACCAACAGGATAAAAACCCCAAAACACTTCAGCAAATGGAAGAACACGTGAAACCTGCGGCCGAGGGGCCGCTTTGGAGGGCTGGCCCTTCTGCTCGTAGTACTTGGCCGCTTGCGCCATGGACAGCGGGTCCGCCGCCAGCGCCAGGCTCATGAGGTCCCCGTCGAAGCCGTTCTCCTCGCCCGGTCGACCCGTCGAAGGTTCGGCGGTCCCAGAACCCCCGGGCTTCGGCCGGGGACGCGGCCTTGGTGACGCCAAAGTGCAACCAACAAAGCAAGCAAGCTTGCAAGCAACCAACCAGCAAAAAAAAGTCCGGGCGTCTTTGGAAAACCAAAAGCCAGCGAACCTGGTGGCTGAAATGGACACCCAACTCACGAAAACCCGCTCAGAACTGGGAAACAAAAAAACGGAGGTCTGGCAACTGCCAGGAAAATGGCCAGGGTTCCCTGAGGTGCAGCTTGCCCCTATTAAAAGATTGCCCGTGGGATGCAATTTGGATGATGAAACTCATGATGGCCATATATCTATAGGATTTTAAGGGTTGACATCTCCTCTTGCGTGTGCGATTGGCAGGGAATGAGAAATGGAATGGGTTTCCTTTAAGTACTGAGCTCCAGCAAGTTTTTCGAACACCAAATAACCTCCATTTACTTCAGTCCCGAGGAAAATATTACATGTTTTCTGTAGTGATAGGTCCCATAAAATCAGCAGGGGAAAATAAGAAACATCTTTAAACAAAAGGAAGACAAAGGAGCCCACCCAACAACTGGCTAGGGGCCACTTCTACACTTTCCAGCCATGACCCTCTGCACAACTCAAAACAGGGAAGAACACTCGAATCGAGAAATATCCCTTCTAAGGTTCCCGCATTTTGACTAGGTCCTCCAGTAGAGAGGTTAGAATTAGTACCCTTTTGCCTGTAGTTTATTTTAGTAGGGGAACCCTCCCCCCAAAAAAGGGGTAACAGGGCACTACTGCATGGGGCACCTAGCATCTTATGAGGGTTATGTAAACCGTGGTTCAAAAGGTGGATGCAGTTTTTGAACCTTGGCAAGGCCCGAAAAAGCCAAAAGACCAAAAAGTCGGACCGCCCCTGCATTTGTTTGCGGGCGAGCTCAGGACTCGGTGCATCCTCGACTCCGCCATTTTTTTCTTTTCCGGCTGGGCGAGTCAGGCTCCGCTTCCCGTCTCCTGCGCAAGGCGGATGGCGTGGGAGGCGCGGCCGGCCATCTGGAAGAAGTGCATCGCCTCTTTGAAGTGTCCGCTGGCCTCCAGGTGCCTGAAGCGAAGCTCGCAACGCGATCCGAAGCGAGGGGGGGAGGAAAAAACGCGGGGATCGCTGGAGTGGTACCCGGGGGAACCTGGTTAACAGGGTTGGTTTCCAAAAAAAAAACACGCAAATCTGGGCCGCAGTTGCTTTGCTCTTCCCGGTTGGGACTCGGTTGAGGGGTCCCCAACATGCGTTCCCTTGGAACCAGTTTCCACCAAGATGGGTAAGGGTTCCTGGAATGTCTGTTGCGGGACATTTCGAGGGCCTTTGACTTTCAAAGGTGAGGGTTGGAGTTCTGTCGTTGCATTTGGCGACGTCCTGTATGCCTTTGGTTGCTTTCCATGTCGAAATCCAAAGGGAAAACCGAACGCCGGCATGCAGTGCTTTGTGTTCAGGCACACGCCGCGTCGTCGCCTCTTCCAGCCGAAATTGACGTCGGGTTCTTAAATGCGGCCATGTTAGAACACATTCCCAGGTTTTCCCTGGGTCCCATTTGTGGAACGTGTTAGGGGTAGGTTGGTTACAGAAAGAAAGCGGTACTCGCTGGTACTTCATAGGTGTGTCACAAAGGGAACCCGAAAGCTGCGGTTTTCTTCTGGCGTCCCTTTGAACCCAGGTGAAGAGGGTGCCCTTAAACAACAACACAGCCAATAGAATGTCTGTTTTAAGCTTTCCCCAAAAGGATCTACGTTGGGGGTGGCTCTGAAAAGAAGCCCTGCCATTGAGCAAATAAACGATATCGCATTGGCGAAATGTTCAGCCCTGCACTGCACCTTGGATTCCAAAATGTTTTACCATCATCACGTCAGCAAAAGGCAAAGAGGCAAGCAGTTCCAACGCGTTGAATGATCACACACAGAGTGTCGATTTGTAAAAGGAGCCACTTTTCAGGTGATGTTTCAAGGGAAACAAACATGAAGCTAATCAGATCTACGTACTCGGCAGTCAACATCGCCACCTCAGCCTTTGCCCCCTTAGTTTACAAGGAAATTTGCCGCTTACTAATGATTATCTACCCGAGTGTTGATTCTGGTGCATGAACATGCTCTACCACCACATGTAAAGATCTGACGGGGCGGATATCCGCTTGGGACTATCCTGCACCTTCTACCGGGTTTGCGGTGCGGAATTTGCCCAGAACACCAGCTTCATGTTTCTCAAAATGGTTCTTCCGCTCCCTGGTTGGTAACCGCCTAAGGACACAACCAATTCTTTGGCGCAACCAAACCCCCACAACACCCAAAAAAACACAAACCCCCAAGGCTCCCCCCCCAAAAAAAAAAAAACAAACCACCCCAAAAAAATATAAAATAAAACGCTTTGAGAACCCCCAAGCCCCCCCCAACAAAAACACACAACAACAACCTCCCGCTTTTCTTCCACTCGGCCCCCCTCGCCCGCCATCGCCGCCTGGCCAGGTGGTAGCACGCCGCCTGGTCCTGTGAATCCTCGCAGATCTTCTGGGCGCGGTCCAAGTCCTCGTTGAAGCAGGCCACCTGGGCTGACAGGTCCCAGCCGCGGAAACAGGAAGCCAAACACCATATGTAGAATAACTCGGCGGCTTTTTGCTCCCCTACGATATGTTTTTATTAGTGGTTTAATGGAAATCATGGGTGTCAAAACCAATGGGTCAAAACCTGGCTGCTTGAGGGCCCCAAATACATCGGGAGCCTCTGGGTAGCCATGGAAACATGAAGATGACCGCTGCTTTCTGCTCTGCGAAAAGTTTCACCGGGCGATCCCGAACCCACCTAGTGAAATTTGGGGATCTGGCACCTGAGGCTGACCGTTTTCGAGCCATGGAAACACGAAGGGGATAGGAGGGTTGAATGGACCTAAGGATATTTTAGCACCCGAACATGATTCACCACCCATTTTTGAACCTATTTTAGTGGGGATTGGGATTGGGATTGCTTTCTGCTCTGCGAAAAGCTACCGTTTACCACGGGCCATAAACCCTTAGGGGGATAGCAGGGTTGAATGGTCCTATGGAAATTTGAGCACCCAATATGGAGCCCATGGAGACAGGGCTAAACCCGGCGGTCCTTTCTCCGCTGCTTTCTGCTACCCTGCGAACAGTGACTAACTTTTAGTGGCTTCATGGAACACATTTTTAGTAGCTTCAACTTTAGTAGCTTCAACTTTAGTTGCTTCAACTTTAGTTGCTTCAACTTTAGTTGCTTCACTTTAGTAGCTTCAAAAGGTAGTTTCAAAAGTTAACTTTTAGTAGCTTCAACTTTAATACTTTTAGTGGTTTAACTTTTTAGTTCAGCTGACCGCTGCTTTCTGCTTCAAATTGACCCGTCCAAAACGGTGATGTGTCAAGCAACCCAAGGGGGGAATAGGAAACCCACGCTCGGTTGCTGTCTGCTCTGCGAAAAGCTTAAAACTGTTAAGTGGTTTAGTTGATGTTGGCAAACCCATTAATGTTAGTTTATGTTAACTTTGACTGGTTGAAGGGAAAACCCATTGAAGAAGGCGAAAGTTAAAGTCCTAGCATCCAAGCAAGATGCACCTTGAGCTGACAGTTTTCGAGCGGTGGAAACCTGAAGCTTTGTCTAGGCCTTGACTGCTTTCCGCAATCAGATGCCACTTGGTCTTTCCAGTGTTTTTTTTCTTTTAAGGTTGGCTTCCACGAGAGGAAACATAGGCAACTTGCTCTTTCCAGTGGCAAACGGGTTGGATTTGGCTTTTGTTGCCACCAAGCCAAAAACAGGATATGGGTGTGGTTTGTTGGATGAGTGCCGGACTCTCTGGACATCAGAATTTGGTGGGGATTCAAATCCTAAAAACACTTTTGAGGTGGCTCCGTCTTGAAATTAATTCCCGTCCCAGTCCTAAACTATGTTGAGTGACTAAACTCAACAAGCAGGTGGTGTGCTTCTTGCTTTTTGATTGAACAGGACCTGGATTGAGCCGGAACAACATACACATCCCATATTCTTCTGATTTATTTAATCAAAATACATCAGGGAACTTCGGCTTATTAGTTGGGGGAGTGAATGGCAGTCTTTTGGAACCAAGGTGCTCAAAGAATTGCCTTGCCAGGACTACACATGAACCGAGGTCAAAACTCCTTATATGGCCTATGGTCATGGTTCTCGGAATGGGAATCAACCCAATGGTTATTTAGGATTCTTACCAGGTGGATGACCATCCCTATGTTAACCCCGAGTGAAGGAAACGATCTTTTGACCGTGGCACACATGGAGCAACAAGGACTCCATAGGGTCGTTTCGCTTTGGCCATGGGAGAAACCGCGGGCGGGTTGCTGTTGTTGTTTTTTAAGAGGCGGGGGTCTTGAGAGGGGCGAACTTTTGAAGGTTTAGGTTCCCTATGGTTCCCTCAAACATCCATAAGGACCTGATTCAGATGGGACAAGGCCATCACAACATACCCAAGACATTTGCAACTCTACTTTCTGGACCAACCGGGGGGGGGGGTGTGAGCAGGGTTTGATTCCAGTCCCAGCTTCATGATTGTAAAGTTTTTGTCTAATTCATATCCTGCTTGGCTGCTCTTCAAAAAGGCCAGGGTCAAGGTCTACCATCATGGACACCTGGGGGCCAACAGGAAAAGGGGGTGTTCACAAGGGGGCTTTGTGCGAGCGGAAGCTGCATCAGGCAAGAAAAAGATCTCGCCGCAACACTCGGTGAAACCAAAGATACTCGCAACACTCGGTGAAACCAAAGATACTCAACCAACGATGACTTGATGAGTTCTGTGCTCACGGCAAGTAGCCACATGCATTCGCTTCAGCTGGTTGCACGATCGACGTTCTGTGGACATGAACCACAGCAAACAAACATATTGGCGTGTCATGTTGGTTCCGACGCCTTTCGGACCGGAGGTCCCCATATTCTCACAAAGCCGGGGGTTGGGCTCCGTTGGGCCCAGCAACAATCCATATCTGCCTTCGAGTCGGTCACAGGCACTGATTCAAGGACTGGCCGGTGTTTTTTCTCCGTAGCCCCGTAGACCATAGCTCCCATTTGCTTTTTCACCCTGGAAAAAAGTAGAAAATATGTCCAGTAGTGATAGATTCCCTTTGAAACCAAAGGGACAATATAACATATTCTTGAGAGCAAATGGAAGATCGGCGCGACCGGCGCCAAGAACCTTTGCCTCAAGCCTGGCTGACCGATTCTATGGATCCATAAAACTGGGCTGCTCTCAGATCCCCCGCTAAAAGGTTAACTTTTAGTGGGTTAAATGAAAACTACCACTAAACACCAAAACGCTAAAAAGCTAAGGAACCGGATGGCTGGGAGCCATCAAGGAAAGAGGCCATAGCCATTAGGGGTCATCAGTTTCCCATGAAGCCATGCTTGATTCAGCCGTGAGTCAGGAGATCAGTGGCTATATGTAATGTATGTTTCTGACAGGTACCCTTGTCAGGTTGGATTTCAGGGATTCCAAGAGGAAAACCACATTGTTGGGGATCCTCATGGTTTGACGCATTCGGGTGACTCCTTTCCCAGAATCAAGCCCATGGAGAATGCTTCATTGACCAACAAACGCGGGTTCATACCGGGGGATTTCCTTCCGGCTTCCCTTAAACCCCAACTCAGCCTCCCTTTCGTTGGATCGGGGCCCGGTTCGAAAGTCGGGGCTCAAAAATCCAAATATCCAAACCAATCCAGACCACCGACTAGTTTGTTACTTGGCCAAAAGTGGGTGCCCCAAGAAAACAAAACACACACACACACACACACACCTCACGTCACATGGCCAAGGTGCTCGGCACAGGCTCAGCCAGTCGCCGGCCTTTTTGTACTCCTGTCGAATTTTCTCTCCCACCTACCCTGGGACCCCAACAAAACGCACATCTCAGCTTCCCTCCAATTAGGTGCTGACTAAGTGGTGTCCAAATAGCCCTCTACAACATCCGGGGGCTGCAAAGTACCAACTAAATGATAGCAGGGATCCTTACATTAAGTACAACGTAGGTTCAGGTTGACTCAAGCCTCGCGCAGGGATCCTTACATTATACACCTGAACATTGCCTTGTAAATGGTGGTGTCCAACTTTAATTTGGTGTTGAAAAAGCCACATGCTTCAATTGGTTGCAACATGTATCTTTTAAGGAGCCCTGGATAGAACATCGCGATTCCCAGCCCCATGCTAGATTTCAAGCAAAAGATCAACCAGCAGCTTCGTGTGGTGCGCATCTCGCCTTTGATTCAAAAAGAGCTGGGGAGTGTTCCGAGACGTTCCCTCTGTTCATTTTGCATGTTGCTTGCCGTCGGAACCCTTTGTGGGGACCACCCTGCAATGAGTAATCCAGGGGTTCACCTTTCGTTCGGTACCATTACGCTCCCACTGTGGAACCTGCCCAAGGTTTCTGTCCAGAGTTGCCATGTTAGGTGCAAACCTGGAAGGAGACCAACCCATTGATGGTTCAGTGTGTCTTTCATCAGGGGGCCGCCAAAACACAAAGGAGTACCCTCCAACAATACGGGCCCCCCTGTGGGTTGGGTTATAAAGGGGATACCAACAGGAAAACCGAAGCCATTCGTGGTGGCGTCCCCTAAAAAGACACCATTTGTCTAGGGGTAACTTCCCCATTCTTTCCAGGGCTCCGAATCTTTCTACAAAACCACCGCAAAAACCCTGGGGGAAATGGCGAGATCGGTTTTTGAGAAAAGAACGATGGCTGAAAAGAATGGAAAAAGGAGTCACCCCCTAAAATAGCTGGTTTCCGGAGACCGATGTTTTTGCTGGGATTCAGGGACCCCCCTCCGAAAGCTTGAAAATCCCCAGGCCTCCGAATCAACCCCTGGGTTTTTGTTCGGCGACTCGGCGACTTCCGCAGACCGAAGCCGAAGTCGTCCTTGGAGGCTCCGTCCAAATCCGCCTTGGACTCCAGGTACTGCGCGTACCAGCGGTGCAGCTGAGAGTCATCGCTCTGCTCCACGTAGTTGCCTCGCGTTGAGCAAAATGGGACGCGGACATGCAACTGGGTCTCGAGAGCTGGGAATGGCTTCGGTTTATCGTTTGTTTCCCTTTCCCCTTCTAGGTCCTGCAGTAGTTTGAGGTTAGAATAAGTTGGTCTTTGGACCGCGCTGAGGGCAGTTTGGAGGCTTCCTTGGCAGGACTGTGAACAGCTTCCACACATTGACGGTTCTAGGTCCTCCAGTAGCTTGAGGTTAGAATAAGTTGGTATTCACGACTTTTTTTGTGTGTAGTCTATTTTAGTTGGGGAAGCCTCGACCAAGAAAGGGCAAGAGGGCGATATGGGGGGACCTAGTGGTGACTTGCTGGGTGGATTCCAAGCAGTATGTTCAATCGTTCAGGCCAAGAAACAGTTTTCAACCTGGGTTCCATGCACAAAATGGGACTCTCTGAGACCTATCACTTGTGACTTCAAAGAGAAAGCGGCTTTCAGTTTACTGAACTGGGAACCGAGTCGAAGTTGCCACTGACCCAGGAACCCTGAGCTTTCGGAGGTCTGGGTCCCAAACAACTGTCCCCGGCGGCAACCGGCTATGTTTCTTGGAATTCCAATGCCTTCCAAAGTTCAAGCCTCAAGAGTTGTCTACATCAAATTTTAGCAGTTCAGTGGTTGGATTTCAACCACTGAACCACAAAAAGCAAAAATGTGAAATGTTTCCCAACAACGACCATGATGTGTGTGGCCATGCAGCAATGAACTCCCTTTTGCAATTCCCCTGCCATTCTTGGGAAAGGCCATATCACCACTGTGTCCATTCCCAGGTGCCGAGATCATCCGTCAGCCCCATGGAGCACAGCAGCCGGGGGTTCTCAGTGCGGTAGGTGCCGCTGAACTCGTAGTGGCTCAGCGCCGCCTCGACCCAAACCCAAAAGCGACCAAAAAATAGGTCACCCCCTAGTTGGTGCTATGAATTTGTGGTTTGGCTGGTGCTTGTAGAGGGAGAAAAGACACACTCAATTCCCATCGAGCGGATTGGCAAAAAGAAGTAACCAGGAACTTTAGAGATTTACCACCGAAATGGTCCAAACCCAGAAAGTGACTACAGTCCAAGAATTCAGGGAGTGAAGGAGTTATAACTTGCGATCAGTGTGAGAGATGCAGGGAATGAGAATTGAAATAACCCTATAATTCACCATCCAACTGGTGGTTTCCTTTAAGGGAATCCACTTCCGGTTCATGCCCACATTCCCTGAGCACCAGCAAGATAGCCATAATGTCAAACAACGGGATTGGGGCGATATTGGTGTGGTCACAATAGAAATCCTTTTTACTCTTACCGAGACTCAAAAAAACAAAAATCGCGGGGGAGGGGGGGTAGGGGTTGTTCTGTTAGGGACTCCTGGGCGGGTGAGGCAAATGGCCTTTTCTGCTCACGAGCCCAAGGTGTGAGTCCCTCCGCCCAGTTCATAGCGGTCCCTCAACTCGGAAGCCCCTACTCTTGTGCTTGGCCACCGGCTTTTGGTTGAGGTCCTCCAGATTTGAGAGCTTAGAATAAGTTGGCACCAATGATTTTTGCTTCTGTAGCCAATTTTAGTAGGGGAACCCTCCCCGTAAATGGGCACTGCCCAAAAAAATAATTGGTAACAGGGCAGGGAAGTTGAGATTGGCTGCAAGGGTGCGGCTTGAGATTGCCTTCCCTCCAGCAAGGTTCAATGATTCAAGCCGCGTCCAAATCGCAGCCGCAAGATTCTCAAGATGCGCAAATTGAACAGCCTCAGTCCCAAAAGCCGACTGGCCCAGACAGCCAAAAGATGAGACTTTTTGGGGGCCTCTGCTTTCTGGACCGCGTGGTATAAGCCCAGCAGAAGCACAGATGGTGGGTTCAGACTGGGCTCAGACGTCTTTCCTGGCCATGCTTTTGTGAGTAAGCTGATGATCTTCCTGCGCCTAATGATGCCCGTTTCTAGAGGCGAATGTGTAACTTTGGTAGATATAGCCCATGGTTGAACACAAATCGGATTTCTGGGGGGCTCGGAGATTTTTTGGGAAAACTACTTGCCGGCCAAGCGAGAATCTCTCCCTGCACATGTCGGTGGGGAATTCATTCTATTCCAAAAAGGGGATTCTATCTCAACCAATCACCCCTTCTTTTCCTTGTGGGGATTCCCCCCCCTTTTGAGGTGCAACTGAGTGTTTCGGGCGAAATCAAAACGGCGCAAGGCCTGTGAGGCCTCTTTGAGGCCAGGTCAAGATTTGAAGAGCAGCGACTAAAACGCACATGCCAAGGACAAGACCAGTGGCAGTGGCACCCCAAAAGTGGCTTGAAGCAATTGTTTGGATTCTTGAGGCCCCCGATGTTAGAAGTTCACCCATCATCTGTCAGCTTCCCCGACAAGCATCTCGAAACAAGGAGAGGCTGCTTCTAACTCAGACTGAGGGGGAAACACGACCGTTGGTCGATGGATCTTGCAGGAGGCAACTCGAATTCACCCAGCCGAGAGTGGTGCTCCGAAAATCAGTAGTGACTTCGATAGTGTTGACCCCTCCTGAATGTGCTTTTTTTGGTGTCTGTTTTTTTTTGGCCCGGGCGGGAACAAGGAGGGGGTCGTGTACTGTGCGTCGCAGGGCTGTGTCGGGGTTCCCCCCACCCGCCCGTGGGACCCCGCCTGAACATCCTCCAGCGCCTCGAGGTGCTGCCTGAAGCGAAGAAATTGGCGACCAATGGCTATGGGAAACCTCCAAACCTCTTGTCAGGTAAATGGAAATGGAAGGTACCTCTAGAATCATGGAACCTCCAAACCTCATCTCTCAAGTGTTGTGTTTGTTCCGGGAGGGTTTGGAACCTCATCAGTTAACCCTCAGTTGGTGGTTAGCTTTTGTAGAGGGCAAATGGGAAACCCTCCTTAACCACCACACCCAGACGGAATCTACTCCCAAGCTTGTGTCTGTTGTTTGTTTCGGGAGTGCCCTTGAAGGAACCACCAGCTAAACAAACAGTGTCCATGGCCCTTTTGGGCAGCCAATGAGCAAGCAGAGGAAGGTCCTTGGTGTCCTTTTCCGCTAGCAACATTTCCTTTTGGCGGCCGGGATCGATCCTTCTCTCCAGCAAACAACTAAAAACCAGGGACAAGGCCTGGTGGTTGAAAAGAACCGCCGGTAAGGAATGAACTTCTTAGGCTTTGTCACATTGGAACAAGCAAACACGGCTGGCTCAAACCTCGAGAAGCCATAGTGGGCTCATGTTGAATCACATACGCCGTTCCTCCATGCCAGGGTGCGCATAGGCATAGTGCGTTGGCTTCAGGTGGATGCGATCCTGCACGGCACAGCAAAAGACAATTCGACTGAAAACGCGCTCATAGACGCAGCGATCCGCTCCCTTCCAGGTTCAACAAACAGATTGCACCATCTAAGGGCAAGGCAATGAAAGAAGCAGTGCATCAACAACACATCCACAGAAGGCAATATGCAACAATATATCAGGGAGCCACCAACCATGTCCACAGAACTCCCGAAGGCCAACTACGCCTGTCCCACGGCGGAAGCCAGGACCTTTGAGTATTTGACCAATATGTGCCATTTGGCGAGAGACAGGATTGAACCCAAACTCGTTGCTGACACCGCAACAGCGGACTCGGCCTTCGTCTTGGCGACCTCCAGCGCCTTGTCCCAGGCGCCAGAGGCCTGGCATAAGCCACTCCCGACTCCCAGCACGACCAATGCCTCTTTTTTTTGGAGAGTTTTAAGGGGAAGCCTATAAAAATACATCCCACCCAAACAGATGTCAACAGGTCTTTTCCAATTGCGCAGGTGGGTTGGTTTGGTTTGAGTCCTGTTGGTGCGGTCTTGGTTTGGTTAGGAAAGGTTTCCCCTGAACACGCACACACAGACACACAGACACACAGACACACAGACACACAGATACACAGACACACAGACACGCAGACACACAGACACACAGACACACACACACACACACAAAAAAAAAAAGGCATGTATAGCTTCAAACAAACGCACACCCATACCCCCCGAAACACAATGCCAACTGGTACAACGTTGCCGTCATGCGTCGGGGAAGCATAGCTGTAGATCCTGACGTTTTGTGGTAGGGTGGGTTTTAGGTTTGGGGCTTGTTTTAGATGCTAAGGGTGGGGACTGGCCTGGTAGAGCTGGTTCAGGATGTCGTAGCGGCCACACTGCTTCAGCAGCTGCTCCGCATCATCCTCAGCTGCGCCCGTTTTCTCGCGGGAGGCTGGGGTTTCTGGCAGAAAAGGGCCTTTGTTGAGGCTGACCCACCAAGCATATGTGTAAATAGGGTGGAAAAAGAGGTAGCACTTGCCCGCCGAATCATTTACTAACTGGGTAAGTGCCTAAAGAAGGGCCCTAAAAATTGTGGTTTCCTCATGATTTTCCTTTAAGCCGTCACCCCAGAAACAAACAGGCACACACACGCACAGAAATGGGAACAAACGGCATCCCTCCACCTACGGAACCGTCTGCAAGCCCGACCCAGACCTCTCAAAATATATTCCCTAGCAACTTGACTGAGGTTTGAGTTGCCAACACAAAGGATCTAGTGTTTGTTTCAAAAATCGGCGGGACCCCTGACCAGAAAGAACGTGTCCGACCGCTTCAAGCGTCGATCATGTCCAGATGCACCGCCACGATGGCAAGGCGAGCTTCTGGCTCCTCCGGGACCCATTTGCCGATTTGGAGTCGGAAACTTCATATTGATCGTTTTGCCAAATGTTTGTTGGTTGGTTCACAACTTGTTTTTGGTTGAACCTGGTCCTCCCCAAATACAAAGCCCAAGGCCCCATTGCCTATCCGACTCAAACAACATGGACGGAGTGCAGGGGGAGGATCCTGCGTGGGTCGCGTGCGAACAGGGTGTTGGAAACGACTTCCTTTTGGCAATCACAAAAACCGATTTGGATAACCAAACCCCTTTCGTGGCCCTGCGAGCTTCGGCGTCTTTCGCAAGCGCAGGAGGAAGCATTTCAAACCGTTGGCTCCCTTTCTGAAAAACCTGAAAAGGTGGACTCAACCAAAAAAACCGCCAACACTATATCCAGACCTCCGCGGCTATAGGAAGAAAGGCTTCCTTCCTTGATGTTAAAGACAATGAAGGCCAAACACAAAGGAAACGTCCCAGGAGGTCTGGGCAAAAATCAGAACCCCAAAACCCCGAGGCTCCCCAGGGTTGTCCCCACCACCTGCTTACACGTATAGATTTAGGCAAATCTTCCCCAAACATCGTTTTGGTTGCTTTTAAGGGGCCTTGGTCTGGTTTGAGGGTATATGACGCCTTGTTTGGGCTGGGTTTGAAAGGACAGCTCAAGGGAAATTCAACTAGATGTTGGGGGGTCGCTCGTTTTTTTTCCTCTCCGTACACACCCGTTGAGTCCCCCTGCCTCACCCCCCTCCCCGCCCCCATGGATCCTTCTCCAGACACTGGCGCAGGGCGCCGGCCGCGCGCGCGTGGCCCATCTGCCCCAGGCACTTCTGCGCCACGTCCAGGCGCCCCGTCTTCACGCACATCTTGCTCATGGACTCCCAAACCTTTTGGGTTTCGGGGGCCTGCCTGGATTTGTCCCCATGGCAAGTGTTGCCCTTGCAGACTCGGTGGCGAAATCTGCTGCCCTGCTAAGAGTGAATAACTTTGGTGGTTTAGTGGAAAACCCATTAGTTGGCAAAAAGTTAAAGTCCTAACAGCCAAGCAAAATGCACCAAAGTAGACCTTGGGTTTTGAACTTGAACCCAACCACTGGTCAGGTGGTGTTTCAACCATTGTAATTCGTGGCTAAAGACCTTGAGATTTGGACAGGACGCACATCTTGCTCATGGCTTAAAATATTTTTTTTCGGGACAGGGGCAGCCTGATTTTTTATGGGGCAAGATGCCACTGACTGGTGGTTTGGGGTTCACACAGGGGCTGCCTGGATTTCCCACTGGATGTCCACTGATCAAAAGCTGCAACTGACTGGTGGTTTCCCTTGTATTTGAGAAAAAAAAGTTGCCATGCAAGGTGCTGGTTTTGAACTTGAAGCCAACCACTTGTCAGGTGGTGTTCCAACCATTGTAGTGGCTAAAGACCTTGGGATCTGGACAGGGGCTGCTTGGCGTTCCCCCAAAAGTTGATCAATTGACTGGTGGTGTCCCTTACAAATGGGCTTCCTCAGATAATTGACCGTCAACAACAAACCAAACTTTCCACGCGAGCAAGTTCGGGTGCTTAGGAAAGCTCAAGTTCTTGACCATATCTTTCTGCCTGCTATTAGAGGTGGTCTACCAGACATCATGTACATAACCACCACGGCTCAATCGCGGAGCCCCAAAAGCAACCCCCCATCTCCGAACAAACATATGAATCCAAGCGAAGGTCCGACCACAATCAAAGCCTGGAATTCAAGGAGACTCGACGCCTGCAAACTCAGGCATCAAGCAAAGGAAGCCCTGAACCAGCAGCGGCAGCTATGCGCTTGCGATTCGGTTACCAGGCTCTCGGAACTGAATTTGGGCAGCTGTTGCGGATACTTCTTGCGGCTGATTTCTTTCGGGGCTAATAGCACCGGGCGTTCGCAATCGGAGGTTGGTAGAAAAGGTACCCGCTGTTCGGTTGATCCTTTTGAGTGGGCCCACCAACAGAAAGGGACAAAGGGGTGGAAAGGGGAAGCCCTGAAAAACTTGCTGGTGCCCAGCAGGCAATGATGGAATGACCCTGATAAACCATCCAACTGGTGGTTTCCTTTAAGGGGACCAAAGCCTGACTTCTCGCACCACTCACAGAAAGTGGCATTTTGAGACCAAAAAAGGGTGGTTTGAACCCATGGTGGGGGTTCTCTTGATTTTCCCCCTTTCAACCAGTGGCTTCCTTCCCGCACCAAGACCCAAGAAACAAAGGACACTTTGCGCCCGTCCCGCCGACTCCCTGAGCACCAGCCAGCAAACAAGTTGACACTTTGCGCCAACAAAAGAAAACGGCCGGACCATTTTTCTGGACCGTATTTCTGGTGGTTTCCTTTAAGGGGACTGGGGTCATTCCATGAGCACCAGCTCAGGTGAAAGACGGGGACCACGAGGCCCACATCCGCCCCCGTCGCTGGCGGCTTCGGCTCCCGGGCGGCCACGGCCGAGGCGCCCCGGTGGAGCGCACGCCCTTGACGCTTTTGTAGGCCTCGTCGGTGTTGCCGCAGGCCAGGTGGTAGGAGAAGTTCAGCAGCGCCGCGGTGGTCTCCTGGCGTGGTGTCGAATGGATCACCGGGGACACACGAAGCCGCGGAAAAGAGACATATATGTGTATGTATATATGAACATTGCAAATATAGTATATATATATATACATATATATATATATATATTACATAGCCTGAAGTTCAGTTGCCACCACTAAAACGATGGTAGGTGAGAGAGGTATATTTCGATCACCCACTTCGAAGCCGCGAAAAGAGAGAGAGAGAGAGGTACATGTATACATTTATATATATATATATGCAAGACCCCCCCAGAACTTAGGTTTCGGCCGGGGGGGGGGGGGGGGTTACATGGGGCTTACAGTAGATATGTGTATGTATATATATATCTATGTGGAGTATGGTCCCCCCCCGCCAAGGACCCTGGTTAGTGGAGCTTGAGCGCTGTGTTTTGCCAGTGGTTCACGCGTTTGAGGGGGGTGCCATGTGTATATTATTATTATTGATTATTATTATTATTATTATTATTATTATTATTATTATTATTATTATTATTATTATTATTATTATTATTATTATTATTATTATTATGTATTATTATTAGTATTATTGTTATTATTGTATATACACATTCACATATGCATACATGTGTAATGTAAGCTAAGCATATCAACATCTGCCATCTGACAGAGTCTGCATCCATCTAAGCTTTCGTTTTGAGCATGGGATTGACCATTCGTGAGGCCCTTGAAAGCCGCAGTTGTGGCGGTTCTTTTTTTGCGTGTTGGGGCAAAAGAACCCCCACCAAAAACTTGTTGGGCATCTTCGAAAGCTTCTTTCAGTACCCAAACACCTTCCTTAAATGGCTATGGGTCAACCCCCAAATCGCACCCCCCGTGAACATCCCCCAATCCAACCACGGAATAGGTCCTAAAACGGGTGGTGAATTCACCTACCAACCAAAATGGGATCCAAAACGGTGTTGACCCACGGCCAAATCTCCAAACGCCACTCTCGGCGGAGGTCGCACGAATTTCTCTCGCCATTCGGAACGTCTCAACGCCTCAAACCCCCCCTGCCGGCTCAGGGTCTGCCTGTCTGGTGAAACACCTCCTGACATCTTGGGGTAGGTCCTCCAGATTTGAGAGGTTAGAATAAGTTGGACCCGATTTCTTTTCCGTAGTCTATTTCAGCAGGGGAACCGAATCTCCCCCAAAAAACAAGTTGGCACTACTGGCACTGGAGCACCTCCTCTCGGGCTAAAAGTGCCGAATCGATTCCATCGATTCCACGCCCAACGAACTCGCGACGCTCGTCCTCGTCCATGTTCTCGAGCCCTGCAAAGTCCCGGAGCACTCTTCGGGTGAGCCCCAAGGCCTCCAGCGATGGCTTGGCTTGGCCACAAGCGCTTGACATACTGTGGATGGACGAAATCCGTTCCGCACCACCTAAGAAAACCATGGGAAATCACGGTTTGTTGGTATTTATAGGGGAATCGAATCATTCCAGGGTTTCTTAGGTGGCGCAGGAGTTCGTCCATCCACAATATTGTTTTCTGGGCGGTCCGTTTTCAGATACCCCGCTAAAAGTGGACTTAACTTGTTGTGGGTGAAATTTGGAAATCCAACCACGAAACACTAAACAGTTTTTTTCAAACTGAGGGGGATGGCTGGGAACCACCAAGTCTTGACAAATTGCCATTCGCATGACCTACTTACTCCACTATAGTAGATTGAACATCAAAGAACTGACGCCTGCAAAGAAACCAAAACCCGACCCGCGGATGAATTGGAGGTCGGTCCCCCAAAAGTGCAGGAATCCCTCTCAAATCGATCCGCAGTTGCAAGCGTGTCTTCAAAATGGGAAAGCGCAAAACCTCGGTTGCTTTCTGCTCCCCTGCTAAAAGTGAATAACTGCTAGTGGCTTCATTCGGAAAACCCATTAGTTGGCAAAACGTTAAAAGTCCTAACATCCCTTGGCAAAATGCCACCAAAGAAACGACCGGGCACGCTCCTCTGAAAACACACCTAGGGCCCTTTTGGGCACTGCAAAAAGCGCCAGTGAGCCACTCCCAAAATCTCATTTCCTGAGTGGATTGGCCAAACCAAGTCTAAACTGTTTGTTTATGACCTGTGTGGAGGTTTCCTCCTGCTCACTACATAGGGGTTGCCCCACCAGTGCCTGCACTTATCAGTTGTTTGCCACACAAACTGGTCCAAATCCAAAAAGTGACTAAAGTCCAGGAACTCGGGGAGTGAGAAGTGCTGATGGGCCTCTGCCAAAATGCCGGGCACAAGCGCACAAACGCCAAAGAAACCTTCATGTGCTTGGGCCGCATGGGAAAAAGGACACATATCTCCAATAGCAGAAATCGACTCCCTTTAAAACCAACAGGGGGACATAAGCAACATGTTCGCTTGATTCACTTTCAAAACCAACAGGGGGAAATAAGCAACATCTTCATTTCAGACGGAAGAAATGGCTGGGGTTCCGGCCCCACGAAACGCGACGATCGAAAGGTCGAGTCGCAGAGGTCTCCGTCTCCTTCTCTCCGAGCCGGGAGAAGTAGACGTAGGGCACCGTCAAGCCCACCGGCATACCTCAGGCCGGAGCCCTACGAGAGCCGCTTGGGTGTCTCTCTGTTTTTTTGGAGTTGGCGGGTCCCCCCCTTTTTGGTGGTGTTGAATGGAAACCAAAGAAACAACTACATCTTTTGTTTTGGCATGGGGATTCCCCAAAAAACAGAAACACACCCATCTGGTTGCATCTTGAGGTACCGTAGGGCGAACCAGCAAATCTTCGGTTCAGACCATTCGAAAGGGCGACATAAAGCATAGATGCCCTCCCATAAAAGATTTTTTGCACAACCCTCGCAGATCTCGGGCAAGCCAGTAAGGTAATTAACACACCCATGTTCATTCTGTCTTCCCTTTACTGGGCTGCCCTCAGATCCCCCGCTAAAAGTTTAACTTTTAGTGGGTTAAATGGATTCTACCACTAACACTAAAAGGCTAAAAGGCTAAGGAACCCGATTGTCACCAAGTTTACTCGAGAAAGAAGCTCAACAGGGAAACAAACTCCCGAAGCCGTTTTGCCACTGCCGAAGCCCTGATTCTTCCGGTGGAACTTTGGTGCTACGCGCAGCCTCAAACTGCAACCAAGCTTGAGTCAAACTCAAAACACATAACCGTGATGCGGCCTCCCGCAAACAAAAAGGGCGGAAGGATTCGTTTTTCGCACCTTTGAATTTTGAGTTGGCCTGGGAACTGGTTGAGGGGGCAAAGGAACCACACGTTTCCCGCAATCCGCGTACTGCAAAATTCCAAGATCCCTCCATAGCTTTTGAGCAACCGGTATGCTGGTGGTCGGTATGATGCAATGCAATTGGATCGCAAGCATACTATGTGTTTCTCTCATTTCGAAGCACTCCCCAAAGAAAGAAAGGTACCGGGAGTCTCCATGACCCTTGAAAAAGGGGGTTGTTTCCCAAATATAAGGGGTGATGGACCCATTCTTTAAGGGTCATGGAGAAGCGACGAAGACGTACCACCCAGGAGTCGATTGATCAAATCCCAGACTGAGCGGCGCGAAACGCTCTGGTCCACGCAGGGTATGGAGTCCTCAGAGTCTCTGCGGCCAAGCTGAAAAAAGAGCGATGACAACGCTCCTAGGTCCTCCAGTAGAGAGGTTAGAATAAGTTGGTACCCGTTTTTTTTTTTCTGTATTCTATATATTTTAGTAGGGGAACCCTTCCCCAAAAAAGGGTAAAAGGGCACTACTGGGGGACCTAGACTCCATGAGTATTGGAACATTAGATGGCTCTGGATGATTGCACCACCAGGTAAACCAGTGCCCTGATTGTTCAAAAGGAAAACCTGTGGCTGAACAACTCTTGTTGGAAACTCCCTTGTGGGTTTTCGGGGTTCCATGCTGAGAGGAGAGGTCTGGTTGTGAAAGGATTCGCAGAGGTACACCGCAAGAAAGAAAACAAAGTTGTCATTTGGCTACGAATGTTAATGGGGAACCCCCTCAATAGTGGTTGGTGGACATTGAACCCCCCCCCCCAAATGATGTTCACCAAAGGGTCCCAGAATAAATTCACACCCATTTCAACATGTATCTGAATATGCGTTAACCCAGCTACCAAATGCCGAAACACCCTTCGGACCAAAATGTTATCTTTGACCCACCCGAAATTGGAAATGATATCCATCGACAGAAAACACCAATAGGATCTTTGAGGCCGACGCGTGAACTGCTCGGGTTGGAGGGTCCATAGACCCTCTATCGGGGGATGGAAGGTTGAATGGACCTATGGAAATTCTAGCACCCAAAATGGAGCCCATGGAGACAAGGACTAAAACCTGCGGTCTTTTTCTCGGTTGCTTTCCGCTCCCCTGCTAAAAGCTTAACTTTTGGTGTTTCAATGGACAACCCATGAGTTGGCAAAAAGTTAAAGTCCTAACATCCAAGCAAAATGCACCCAAGAAATGGAGTTGGATGGTCCTGCTGCAGAATCTGCTCGCTGTTGGCCACGAAGAGAGTGACAGCGCTGTGCTGCGGCGGGGCATCCTCAGCTCCCCGTGGATTTCCCGTGGATTTTGGACAAACGAACAAGCGGGGATACGGAGGTAGCGGGGATATGGGGGGATTCCCTCCCTGAGGATATCCGTGGGGAGAGCAGGAGGGTTGTTTGACCCCTTGCGATACACGCGCCGATTACTCCACCACTGCTTGCACACACACCACCGGCCATGGTGAAAAGCGGGCTATGATTGAAAGGGAACCCCTCAGGCCAATCCATGGAAGCTGGAAGGATGTGTGCGACTGTGTCTTCCAAAGGGGGTCTGGCAACTTCCATGCTCGTTCTGACCCATGAGAAATCAAGCCCTGGTTTCGGGATGTAGGTAGCACTCCGTCAATCCGGATATTTGTTCCCAGGGATCCCTGAGCCCCACAAGCGAAAGCATCCAGCACCAGTGTCCCCGTTGCAGCACCTGGACATATTTCTGCGCATCTTGGGAAGTGGTCAAAGGGGGTGCTCTTGTAAGAGGACAAGGTGAAAGAACAACATCTCACCTATAGAGCATGAAGGCGATATACACAGCCCCTGGATACCCTCCCACCACTCAACATTCCCTGTAGACAGAAAATTGTCTTCCAGGACCATGTTAGTTGGTGCCGAGTTGGTGGCCCGAGGTGATCAAGGACTGTCGCGTAACCGCTGACGATGTCCCGGATGGATTCCAACAAAGGGCCAAGCATACACAACAAGTACATCATTGTGCGTACATTGTCTTACGTACGTATGTGTGAATATATATGGTGCTTTCTATACATGTAGTATAGCTATATGTGTGTGAGGACAGTGGAGTATAGTAGCCAGCGGATCACATGAAATCTGAGTGAGAATGACAACTCACGAGCCTGAAACTCGGGATCCCGAAGACGGCACCTTCATCACCTTTTGACACGAAGACGGGTTTTGCTGCCGCGGAAGTTGGTCTTGAGCGCCATTCCAACTGTTTGATGGTCGTTTGAGCAAACGTGTCAGTTGACTGGCAATCTGCGTGCGAGGATCATGTCCAAGGCGGAACATCGCAGAAACCGAAAAGGGCCCCCAGCCACCCATAGCAATTCTGATCAAAGGGTTCAAGCCTTCAACATAGGGATATGCATTTTTCTCTTGCTACCCTCCTTTTGCTTCCAACCTTTCGAGAAATGGTCCTTGAGAAACCTCCATATATGGGTCTGACTTTTTGGTAGGGGACCCCCCCCAAATGGTGGTTTACTTTTTGGATTCCCTTTACAACCATAGAAAAGGGGGGTACCCTCCAACAATACGGGACCCCCTGCGGTTTGTTTGGGTTATACAGGGGCACCAACCGGAAAGCCGCTGCGCCATTCTTGGTGGGCGACCCCTAAGTCAGAGACACACGCCCAGGTAATGTGTCTCACATGTCATGAGTCGCTTTTTCCCCGCGGTTCTCAGGTCCGGACATTCGACTCCTTCAGCTCCGTCTTTGGCTCGTACGCCAAGGCCTGGCATTTTCTCGCGGGGACTTTCTCTCGCAACCCCAGGTTTGAGCCCATGAACCAGTCGGAAAAGTAACTTTGCGTCACATGTCTGAAATCACCGCGTTTTCAGAAACACTGTAAAACAGGGGCCCCTATAACGTCCCTTTCTGTCGGAAAAAGAGGTTGGGAAAAATGGTCCCCCCCCTTCTGAGGCGGATCGATTGCATGTCCCGAAGCCAAAGGAGCCGAACATACGGTGGACCGGTGGATGGATCAAATCCGCTTCTCGCACGACCTAAGAAACCGCTGGTTGAAACCACAACGCTTGTTGGTATCTACCGGAGAATCGAATCTTTCCAGGCTTTCTTTAGGTGGGTTCAAGCAAGAGGATGCCGAAAGGATCTGACTTTGACTCAGAGATTATGTTGCTTCTTCCTAATAATAAAGGTCACCCTAATAATATGTGCCCTCATTTCCCAAAATCCAGGCCCGGGAATACTAAAGTTGGAATAGCCAGTTTGAAACCAAAACTGAAACACTGATTTTCCCCACCCTCCCCAACTCCAGCTGTACTAGGGCTCCCCCAACTTGAACTGTTTAAATCCGTACTTACAAATTGCTTCCTGGACTTGTTTGCGCCGTACAAGGACAGAGTAGTTGGTCTCAGAACCAAAGCTGCTGTTTACCATGAACCACCTGGCACCCCAAACAAAAGCATGTTTCTGCTGTGCCAACATGTTGCTTCATCAGGGGCTTATTTCATTCCCTGGAAGGTGTTGCCTTTGAGAAGCCGCCCTTTCGGGCCCAAACACCGAACTGCGCTGTCCCGTTTCAGATCCCCCGCTGAAAGTGGACTTAACTTTTGGTGGGTGAAATTGGGAAAAATCCAACCACTTAACACCAAAAGGCGAGAAAAAAAGCGAAGGAACCGGATGGCTGAAAAAAAACACCAAGCAAAGCAACCGTTCTGTTTTTGCTTTTTAACCTGGGCCACTCGACTGCCACACGTACGCGACTCGACTACGCCACTCGCGACGCGTACGCGACGCGTACGCGGCTCGAGCAAAGCCTGGGGCACCACTTCGCAGCAGAGGAGCCGCGCATCCGTGCAGTCCCAGAAGTGCGCCACCGGGACGCAGCTCTTCCCCACCTGAGCCGCTCACGACTCAGATCCCAACCTTCCCCCCCCCCAGCGCCCGGCGCTCTGGCGGCAGGGTGTGCCGCAAAAAAAAAACAATATACCTGGCAGGTGTGTCCTTTTTGTGGGACCCCGACCCCAAAAAAAACAGCTAATAAAAAGTGGCTTTCCTCTTGGCCTTCCTTAAAAACCAAAAAAAAAGGCGCCCTCAATACAAAAGCCAAATGATCAGCACCGTTTTTTGGCAATACCAAGATTCTTCCCTGCGCCCGAAAAGGGACGGTGCTTGGGCTCCATCAGAACCGGAGAAGCTGTTCAGAAACGTGGTTGCTGTAACGACCCCTCTGCAAACAGTTTAACTTTTTGAGGGTCCAATGAGAAATCCGCTGTTTCCCCAAAAGTTAAAAGTCCACTTTGGAAAATCCCCACTTTCCACCAACAAGTCAAAGTCCAAAGATCCAACCCAAATAGACATAAAGGACCCCCCAACTCCTCCATCAACTTGGGGACATCTCCGGAGAAACGCTCCGCCCCTTGGGGAAAGGCTCCGGCCTTGTAGTGCAGGAAGTTGTCGGACTCGGTGTCGTACACGAAGATCCGACTGTCCGGTACCTTCAGCCTCGGCTTCGAAACCAAAAATCCGCGGGTCCCAGGGCACCCGGACCCGGACCACTGGAACTCAGGGGCGGTTCCTTGGGCCCAGGAACTGAAAGGTGATGTGTCACCTCTTGGGCGGACGATATGATGGGAAATGCCCAAACAAAGGAAACCAAAAAGTCATTTCAGGGTGACTCGCTTTGAAGAAGTGAGGTAAGTTTAAAAAAAAAGAGGAAGATCTACGACAAATTAGCTCAAATCCCACCCGTGGTTAGCTGCTTGTTGAATTGTATGCTAACATCCCCACGCCCCCCGGGTTTAGCTGCTTGTTGATTTGTGCGGCTGGTTTCTATGATGAGTTTTGAGATCGCCACAACTTGCCCAGGACCATCGTTTCAGCAGAGGGAGAAGATGTGTCCGGGTTTTAAGGATTCACACATTGAAACACGGAGGTCGCTTTCCCTAGTGAGCTCGGTATAACAAGTGGTGGAGGTCTCACCGATCCTGCCCAGTGAAGATTGAACGCGAGCCCAGGACCAGCCTAGGAATCCGCTTTTGCCATGCATTCGGCTTCCCTATACCACAAAGAATCGGTCTTTTCACCATGGCACTGAGAGCAATTTGGAGGTTTCATTTTAAGAAATGTGTTGACTTTTGTACTTTTGGTTCGAAACCACATAGTTGTTACTCACTACCCATATGACGACGACAAGCAATAGAACCACCTATAAGGGGCTGAATGATGTATTTGGTCTTAAAGTGCCATATACCCAAAACCTATATGGTATAGAATTTCTCTCACTTCCCGAGTGGATGGCCAAAAAGATAGCCAAGCGGATTTCTTACCACTGAAACGGTCTTCCCAAAAAGCATAAAGTCCAGGAACTCAAGAAGTGAGGCACCGCCTAAGACACCCTGGAATGATACAATTCCCCTGTAGATCCCAACAAACGTTGTGGTTTCAACCATGGTTTTTGAGGTGGATACACCCAAAACCCATAGTATAGAATCCTTGTTGGGCGGACATCCACCCCTCTTGTGTAAGCGAGGTGCGTGCCTCCAGCCATTGCCACCCGCCCATCCGCCCCCAGACGTTGGTCCACCAGCAAGGACGCCCGGGTGCCGTCCTGCGTCGTTTGATTTTCTTCGCGCCCGAAGTGAGCAGAGCAATTCCTACTGTGGATGGACGAAATGGTCTCAAGGTAAATATTGACGCCGGAAAAATAAACTCCTGGTTGCTTTCTTTTCTATTCGGGGTGTGTCCCCTTTTGGAGGGAATGTCCTACTGTGGATGGACGAAGCCCGGCACCAAATTGAAACCATGGGAAATCAATATTGTTGGTATTTACAGACGATCGCCACCGGGAGATCGCGCAAACCTCAGAACCCAGCCCTTGGTTACTTGGTCCTCCAGTAGAGACGTTGGAATAAGGGTACCCGATTTTTTCCTGTAGTCTATTTTTAGTAGGGAACCCTCCCCTCAAAAAAGCTTCGGTAAAAGGGCACTACTGGGGGACCTAGGGGAAGTCCTACTGCGCATGGACGAAATCCATTTCGCACGACCTAAGAAACCATGGTTGAAACCATTGATGGTTGGCATTTACAGGGGAATCAACACAAAGCAAGGTTTCTTAGGTGGTGCGAAATGGATTTCGCAACCATCCACAGTACTGTGGCTCCTTATACTGCCAGGTGGATGATTTGTTGGCTCCATGTTGATCTGCGGAGTAGTCGTCCAATAGAAGAAGGGACGATGGGAGATTCCCCAAGAGGAAATCCCTTCAGCTTCCATGATTGGAAGGTGCAAACTCACCGGGTTCAACTGTTTCACCAATGGCCACTTGGGCAATTTGTATCACTTTTGCTGAAAAAAAGTATTGTGGACGATCAAGCGAAATCCGACACAACACCACAAACTGAAATCATGGGTGACACCATAACGTTTGTGTGCATTTATGGGAGAATCGAATCAGTCCAGGGTTTCTGAATAGTGGTGCAGGGTTTGTCCATACACAGTATGAAAACATACCCTGAGAGACTAAGAACCCCTCTTCAGGGTTTGTTCATTTCTATCAAACAGCGGGAACTGCACGTGTTTCGCATGGGTTGTGGGGGGCCCCCTGCAATTTCAATCATGTCCAACCAAAAAGGGGACCAAATCCGCCGACCCCTTTGCAAAAG